CCGGCGGCGTTGTCTGAGGCGTCACTGAATATTGCGAGTGTTGCTTCGTGAGACGGGTGAGCGAGTAAAGTCGCGTTACTGATGCTAACTTTACATGCTTCGAATGCTTGCGTTGCTTCGTCGGTCCACTCGATTATAGTTTTATCGCGCTTCTTAACGTTGTGTAGATATGAATTTAGCGGAGCTTGTATAGTGGCGGCGTTTGGAATGTGATCTCTATAGAAGTTTAACATTCCTAGGAAGCGTCGTAGTTCTTCAACTGTTTTCGGTTTCGTATAGTTGACGATAGCCTTGACTTTATCATCGGGTGGTTTGATGCCTTGTTCCGATACCATGTATCCTAGGAATTTGACTTGCTGTTTTCCGAAATTACATTTCGCGGGGTTTATAGTGATGCCGTGGTCTTGAAATCGTGTGAGTACAGTTCGGAGGTGTTCTCGATGTTCAGTTTCGTTAGCTGAAGCTATCAAAACGTCATCAATGAAAGGGAATACGTAATCGAGTCCTCGGAGCACTTCGTGAATATATCGCTGAAAAGTTTGTCCGGCATTCTTCAGACCGGGACACATTCGAGGGAATTCGAATAAACCCATTGGTGTTATGATTGCTGTCTTCTCAATGTCTTCGGCGCGGACCTCAAGTTGTTGGTAAGCGCGGTTGAGATCGGCGGTTGAAAATATGGTTTTACCTGAGAGATGATGTGTGAAGTCCTTGACTCTCGGTACTGGGTAGCGATCGGGTTTCGTTATCGCGTTGAGTCGTCGATAGTCACCGCACACTCTTATATCCCCATTCTTTTTAGGTACAATATGAAGTGGCGATGACCATGCGCTTTTACTAGGACGACAGAGTCCTTGTTGCATCATATTCTCAAATTCTTTCTTAACGGTTTCGTAACGATGCGGCGGTATAGGTCGTGCTCGGCAGTGGATCGGAGGTCCCGTAGTTTCGATATAATGTTCGACGTTGATTTTAGTTCCCAGCTTCATAGCGGTAAGTCGTGTTATGCCGGGGAATTCAGCGAGTATGTCGTGGTACGCGTCGCTTATGTCGATGCTTCTTATTGTGGGTGTAGTAGTTGATTTAATCGGCACGTTTACTCGTAAATTCGTTACGGCGTCGATTAATCTTCGATTCTTGATATCAACGATGAGTTGGTGATAGTTTAAGAAATCGGCTCCTAATATAGGCTTCGATACATCGGCAACTATAAATTTCCACTTGTACGGTCGTCGTAGATTTATATCGAGTTCGAGCGTTCGTTCTCCATACGTTGATATTACCGTGTTGTTGGCGGCATATAATTTGAAAGGTAGCGGCGTCGATTTCTGGCCTGGTTTTCGAGGTAGTACGGAGATATTGGCTCCCGTGTCTACTAAGAAAGAGTAGTTCGTTTTTTTATCGGTAACGAACAGGCGGTATGATTTGTGAACGCCGGATTCCGCCTCTGCCAACGTTCGGTCTAGTTTTCCGACTTCGTGTGGTCTTTAGTATAACTACACGGCGTAGTACACCGTCGGGCTTGACTACCGAAGCGGCGGTGATAGTAACACAGTGGAGATGGCGAATTGTGACGACTGCGATGTGTTGATAATCTGCGTTGACGGCTTCGGGAGTGATCTCTTCGATGTTTGAAGTTGTTGTATGCCGGTCGTGCCTTTAATTCTGCTACTTCGAGTTTTAGTTTCCTTACTGCATTAATAAGTAATTGGTTGGCGGCGGCTTGAGAGCTGTCGAGAGCTTGAGGTGGCTGGGTTTCCATATTTGAATGATTTTTCGGGCAGGGATTTGTCCGGATTCCTTTTCTTCAGAAGTTTCTTCGTGTTCTGTCGAGGGTCACCACTTTAAGCGTTGAGACGTATGGAGAGAATAATAGACTTTTCACTTGTTCCAGGAATGTTTTATTGATTTTTTTTTTTTTTTTTTTTTTGTTTCGAATTGACATATGCTGTTAGCCCTAGTGGCTTTGACAGCGTCACCGAGAGGGGTGGGTGGTCCTGATGGGACCGACCCGATTACTTCGGGCCCGAAGGGCCCGACCAGGGATACGCCCGTCCCAAGGGTGCCTCTAGGAGGCCGGACCTCGGCTTAGGACGTCGTTGTCGTGGAGGTATTATTGGGTCGATTGAATGCATGACGCCCCCCGACGGCAGAACGCCGGAGTGACGTGTATGAAACGGGACCTCGCCTTCGCCGGCGAAGGCGGTGTGTGTTTCTGATGTCTGGTGTGTTGTTGGGATTATTGTTCGTATTGTCTGTCGTGATCTGGTCGTCAGGGTCTAATAGGACGTCTTTGGGACGCCTCTTACCTAATTTGGAGTTGGGTGACGGGGAATAATTTGACGCTTGGATTACTAGCGGGTTCGGATGTATTGACGCGGTATCGAAGAATCTCTTTGAGATCATCTTGAAGTGCGCAGCTATCGTAGGAAGTTGGAGGTCCCTATGAAGATCTGAGTTCCTGAGGTACCAGGGTGCGCCTGTGGCTATGCGCATGAATCTGTTTTGCACTACTTGCAGTTTATTAATGGCTGAGGGCCTGACATGTGCGAAGCATGCGCTTGCGTACGACATAACTGGAAGTATGCAGGTCTTGTAAAGTGTGACCTTATTTCTAAGGGACAGTTTACTTTTACTGCAGATGAGGGGGTATAGGCGACCTATGATGAAGGATGCCCTATTTCTAACAGTTCGAATGTGAGGATTAAAGTTGAAGTATCTATCTAGGGTAACCCCCAGATATTTGGCTTTTTTTTGCCAAGGAATGGGACAGTCGTAAAGTGAAACCGTTCTGTAGGGGATGCCTACTCGATTGCTTCGGGAGAAGATTACTGCATTGCTTTTATCTGGATTAATCTCGATTTTCCATTGGCGAAACCATTCCCCTAGGGTTACGGCTGCTTTCTGGAGTCGAGAGATGGTGAGATCAAGAGATCTTGATGTGGTGTAGACTGCGGTGTCATCCGCGAAGAGGGCGAGATGTGTTGGTCTGTTTGGGACCGGGATGTCGCTCGTGTATATCGAGTAGAGAAACGGAGAGAGGATAGAGCCCTGAGGGACTCCTGCTCTTATGGAGCGGGGAGAGGAGAGGGTGCCTTCAACTCGATAGCGGAAAGAGCGATTCGACAAGTAGTCTCGAATGATGTGCACGAGCCTGTCTGGCAGTTTTAGTGTGAACAGCTTGAATAACAAGCCGTTGTGCCAGACTTTGTCGAATGCTTTCGCCACATCGAAGAAGATTGCACCCGTCATTTGGGGCCGTCTTTTTATAATACCCTTGGTGATATGCTCCGTGAGGCGGTGCAGCGGGTGGACGCTCGAATGCTTGGCTCTGAAGCCGAATTGTTCGTTTGGGAGGATATTTAATTTCTCCACTTCCTGTTTTAGCCGGTTCAAGATGATCCTTTCGTAGATCTTTCCGAGAGTATTGAGCAGACTAATCGGCCGGTAGCTGCTCGGTAGATTTTTCGGTTTCCCTGGCTTCGGGATTCCTATTACTATGGCCTCTTTCCATTGGTCGGGGAACGCGCATCCGCTCAGTAGTGCGTTGAAAGCGAGGACCAATAGATAAACTAGTCGCGGCGGTAATAATTTCAGGGCCTTGTTCGTGATGCGATCAGGCCCCGATGCTTTTTTTCGCGTGAAAATCGCGGATAATGTTTGTCACTTCCGGAAGTGATGTTTCTTTTAACGCGGCGTCTCGGATTGGTTGATTTAGTTTATGAGCTACGTACTCTTCTACTATTTCGTCGTGACCCGGGTCACAATGTTTAATGCTTAAGGAGCATTGACTCTCAAAACTGTCTGCTAGACACTCGGCCTTCTCTCTGTCGTCGAAAGCGGGTGGTAGGTTCGGTCTAACCAGAGGTGGCATTACCGAGACAGTGTTTCCCTTCAGCGCTCTCTGCAACGACCAGAAAGCCAGGTGCGTTGGAGAGAGCGATGAGAGTTTCCTGTCCCAGCCGTCCTCTCGAAAGGAAGCGAGTTTATCTCTCACTTGCCTTTGGAGATTACGTAGCGTTCTGCGGTTAGCGTCTGTCGGTGCTGCGTCATGGGCTCTAGTGGCGGCATTTTTCTTTCTAATTAAGTCCCTAATTTCGGGAGGCAGTTCGCGGCGATCCCTGTGGGACTCCGTGATCTGTCTCGTCGAGTTGTCTAAGGCTTGGGTGATGTGATTAGTTATTTGAGACATGGCGGTCTTCGCAACTTCTGCTGATTCTATAGTGTCAGGGATTTGGGAAAGATGCGAAGAGTTAGATTCGAGACACTGTTTAAGTAGCTTCCAATCTGTTATGTTTTTAGTGAGGGTTGCCGCGGTTTGGGGGGGTCCTAACTGAATTAAAACTGGTCTGTGGTCTGAGTCTAGCTCGGATAGCGCCTCAATCGAATGCAACTGGAGTGTTACATTCTTCATGAGGGCTATGTCGATCACGTCAGGTCTGTTTCGTCTATCGTCATGGAAGGGGTAGCGCGTCGGATTGAGGGGAGCGGTGACTTCTATGTTAAGTTTATCTACTATCCTGTTTAAGTCCCGTCCACTAGCGTTTGTTATTCGGGAGTTCCATCGTGGGTGTTTACAATTGAGGTCCCCGGCCAGAATGACCGAGTTCCCTAGTGAAAGGAGTGACTGAAGGTCGCTCTCCTCTATTGTCTTTGACGGGGATAAATAAACGGATGCTAGTATGATGGGCTGATGGCCTGTCATACCCACCTGACAAATCGATGCTTCTATGTTTTGAAGTTGGGGAGGATCAAGGGGGATGCAATGAAGAGCCCTTCTGTAATATATGACCGTGCCGCCTTTGGCTGAAAGGCGGTCGTTCCTAACGATGTTATAATTCCCAATCCGTGGGTTCCTAGAACTTGGTTTCAAGAAGGTCTCTTGTACTAAAAGTATATCTATCTGGTGCTTAACTAAGAAGTGTTGCACCAGTTCTTTCTGATGAGAGAGGCCGTTCGCGTTGTATGTAGCGACAGTCAGAGAGCGTGGTTTTAGGCGGCTAGTAGCCATTGGTGTTGAATGCTCCTACGGCATTCAACAAGCTCGTATGCTGGCATACTGCCAACATGCGTGCCTGCGAATTGCCGTTTGTGGCCCTCAATTTGGCTGCGAAAGTTTGGATTTCCGCGGGGTCAAAGAGGCTTGCGAAGTCACAAACCATTTTTAGATCGGCCTCTAGTCCGGCCGTTGGTGCCTTAGGGGCCTTTGGTGCCTGTGGGGCTTTAGGTGCCTGAGGGGCTGACGGTGCCTGAGGGGCTATCGGTGCCTGAGGGGCTTTAGGTGCCTGAGGGGCAGTCGGTTTAGGTGCGCCTAACGGTCTTTGCCAGGCGTTAGTCGCAGGGAGGGCCGCAGGGATGAGAGCCGGCTCTCGGGCTTTAGTGTACTGCCGCCCAACCTTCGCCCAATGCGGGGTTTTGGGGCATCCGCGATAGCTCGCGGGATGACCCCTCTGTCCGCACAGGACGCAGCTGGGAGGTTCCACCGTAGCCGCCTCCCTAGTACAGTCTGTTGTGGCGTGGTCGCCGAGGCACTTTACGCAGCGCGGGCGTGCGTAACAGAACCTCTGCGAGTGTCCGTAAAGTTGGCAACGGTGACATTGCCCCGGGGCTCCGCGGTTCCGCGGTGGCTCTACTGTCAGTCCGGAAAGCTGACAAACTGATGAGATGTTGAAAATTTTCTTACCCTCCGGGGTAAGTGATAGGTGGACTAGCACCATGTCGAACGGGTTTTTATTTGGTCGGTGCATACGATGCACCTCTAACACTGGCAGGTTTTGGGACTTAAGGTCCTCTTTTATTTCCTCAATGGGAATCTCCGCGGGGAGACCCTTGATGACGACTGTTAGCCTACGCTCCTCCGGGAGGGCGTAGGTGTGGTATTCTAGTTTTTGAAGTCTAAGCATCGCGGATAACGCGCGATGGTCATTCGGTGTGGCCGCGGTGACCTTTATTCCCGCCTGAGTATTACGTGCCGACACGTATTTTATTTTTTTATCGTTTAAGAGGCTGGATATGGCGTTCCAGCTCTTATTGGTTCTAATATATAATGGCGGCGGGTATTTTGAGTATACTTTGGGTGCGGACCCAGGTAGCCCCGCAGGAGCGGTCGCAGGTGCGCCCGCAGGTGCGGACACAGGTGTGCCCGCAGGTGCGGACACAGGTGTGCCCGCAGGTGCGGACACAGGTGTGCCCGCAGGTGCGCGCGCAGCTGCACCGGCAGCTGCTGGGGTTGACGGTTTCTTGGTTGGCGGCGGCGCCTTTAATGACTTGGCCGCCTTTCTTTTACCTGATTTTGTTATGACTGTTTCAAACCCGTCGTTATCCTCCTCTGCGTCTGAGGAGGACGGCGTTGAATCTAACTCGGCTTCCGAGCCGATTGGTGAGCAATCCATGTCGCATGGATTGCTTTTTGGACAGTCCGGTGAGGCTGGGCTGTCCGTATCGAATGAGGTGGGCTTTACTTCGGGGTTCACATCGGTGAACTCCTTGTACGCTTCGGGGTATTTTTTAATAAAAAAATCTAATAAGGCCTCTAATCGGCCCGAATTATGGTCGCCCATGATGGGCGACGGACTTAGGAGGGAGTCCTCCCTGCAAGGCAGGGAGGTGTGTAACGTATTTGATTCAAATCTAGACCCTGTTATTAGGTACAGGGGTGCACCTACTTCCCTAACCACTAACGACTGTGTAAAATACCTTATGAGGGTGGCAGGACAACGGCGACTAAACGACGGTGACTGCTACCCTTTTCCTGATGCTTCTATCGACGCCGGACACGTCGATCTTCTGACCTCTTCTGTAACTTGTTGTCACTTATCACAAACACCATCGGAACACTGATTACGCACGTCTGCGCCGTGCGAATGCCCAACTGAGAGTCCCGCTTTTATTGAAAATATTTACAGTTATTTATACTAGAAAATTGATTACATATAGAATATGAATAACCAGCACATTAAAACAGGCGTTTTGATTGGTCGCCGCGCATACGGTTTCGTCTTTAATGCGCATGTGTTTAATTTATTTATTTATTTATTTATTAGATCTACCAACGTTTGTACACATCATTACATACTTAAAATACACAAAACAAATAACTTACAACTAGGTGTGACAAACAATTATAGGTAGATACATCATGCAAACCCAGCGCGAGCCGCAGTATAAACAAAACAAATAAATTTTAATAAAAATATAAAAAAGAAATAAAATACTAAAAGGTAAACTTACAAAATAAAATAAAAAATTAAATATTGAATGGAAAATTAAACTAAAAACTAAAAACTAAAAGTGATTAACAGGACGGGACAAATACAATTTAAGGTGAAAGGGGGAGTGTGTATAACAGGGACCGAATTCTTTTAGCTGAATCGTCATGGATGTCAAACGCGTCGCTGTAATCATTGACCAGCTTGCTAAGTCTGGAAACTGGGGAGTTTGATCCGAACACAGTTTTCCGAGGTGGTGGATATAGGGGAGTTATTTTGTAGCGAGGAGGCCTTAGTGGTACACGTATATTAAATTTATTTAATAATTGAGGGCAATCGATCTCGTTAGTGAATAATTTGGAAGCAAAAAACAGATCTAAGCGCTTTCTACGTTCATCTAACGAGATCATTCCGAAGTGCTTCAGTTGTTCACGATAAGACTGCATTTTCCTTTTTGACAGCGAGTTAGCAAACAAAAGGTAGTTTAAAAACCTTTTTTGCACACGTTCAATCTGTAGAGAATGAGTCGCATAGTGAGGCCTCCAGACCACCGAACAATACTCCAAGATACTGCGCACAAGAGAATTATACAAAAGTATCCGAACCCTATTACAACGCAACCCCGCCGCATTCCTCAGCAAAAACCCCAACATTTTTGAAGCCCGATTTACAATTTGTTCAGTATGTGGTACGAATGTCAATTTTTTGTCGAATAGCACACCCAAGTCACGGATCTGCTCAAGTTCCGCGATGCTGTTGTGGGCAATATGGTATTGGAATGTGACAAAGTTTCTCCTACGGCCGAACTGTACGAAAAAAAACACTTTTTAGTGTTAAGCTCCATTTCATTGCGCAAACACCAATTGACCAACTCGTCGAGGTCTTTCTGTAGCAACACGGAATCCCGCTCCGAATGTATGACTTTAGCTATTTTTAGATCATCAGCATACATATAAGTTTGAGAAAATCTAATGACAGAGGGTATATCATTAACAAATATGGTGAACAAGATTGGTCCCAGATGAGAGCCCTGAGGTACACCGGAAGTTATTTTCCGCGAGCTAGAGTGAAAACCATTAATCACCACGGAAAATGTACGATTTTCCAAATAAGACCTTATCCATTTCAGTAAATTCCCAAAAATTCCATAAGCAGAGATTTTACTTATCAATATATCATGGGGTAAACAGTCAAAAGCTTTACTGAAATCGGTATATACAACGTCTACCTGATTATGAGAATCCAAAGCCTCTGTTAAGTTTTCTGTGAGATCAACTAAATTAGTACAAACCGAACGAGATTGGACAAAGCCATGTTGATGAGTGCATAAACTTTGTTTAAAGTGACTTTGTATAAAAGGGCATACAAGCGACTCCAATACCTTAGCTAGTGTTGACAAAATAGAAATGGGCCGATAGTTTGATACAGTATTTTGGTCATTAGCCTTGTGAACTGGGACCACTCTTGCTTTCTTCCATTCTGTGGGAAACTCTCCCGTTTGTAAGGACATATTAAATATTAGCAGTAAAGGCTCAACCAAGTATGTAGCACATCTCTTTAAGAAGATGGGTGGGATCCCGTCCGGGCCTGCACCCTTGCCCTCATCAAGACTTTTAAGCTTTCTCAGTAAAGCACCACTATTTATAAGAGGTATTGTTAAATTTTGACTGCTACCCACGATGTAATCAAAAGAATCCCTACGATCAGACTTTCGGAGACTACTGTTTTTATATGCAGATGCAAAGTGTGATGCAAACATTTCACAAATTTTCACACCGTCTGAGGTAACTACAAAGCCATCAGTTATACTTGTAGGATAGGAACTAGTACCACCGCGTTTAGCTTTAACATATGACCAGAAGTGTTTAGGGTTCTTCGAAATATTTTTTTCAGACTCACTAATGTATTTATTGTAAGATAAGACGGCCAAACGGGTGCAACGTGAATTTAGCAGCCTCAGCTCCAATTCATCCATTGGATTTTTATATTTTCGGAAACGACGCCTAAGATTATATTTTTCTTTTAAACATCTTTTTAAGTTACGATCAAACCAAGCCGGGTATTGTGATTTTTTAACTTTATGTTTAGGAACAAATTTCTCAATTATGGTACCGATAGTATTATAAAATTTTACGAGTATATTATTTACATCATTGCTATTCCCAAATATTTCTGCCCAGTTACATTTTCCAAGCTCTATACCAATATTCATGAAATCGGCCTTGTAGAAGTTAAATTTAAATGTTTGATGGTTAAATGGGAGTCTGGGCTGCTCGGCAAATGAGAATTCCACGTCTAAAGCAGGGTGTAGCTGGTCAATGATACAGAACGCAGAAGGACTTGGACGAACCATACAATTAGGTAAATTAGACAATACGAGGTCAAGAATTCTGTCCGATTTATTAACTACTTTGTTATGTTGTTTAAGGTCATATACATTGAGTAAATCAATCAGAGGTTTGACACAAAACTGGTACTCTAAAATTACAAGAAGTGTCCGCTACCGAACTCCAATTTATATTAGCTAGATTAAAGTCACCCAAAATACAATGGCGATCACAATTATCAAGCGCAACGCCACAATTATCAACAAAGTGGCTCAACATTGAACTATGCACTGGAGGTGGTAGGTATACTGCGCAGAGAGCTACCCGTCGCGAGATATGCGATGTAGGAATTTCAAGTATGACCCAGAGGTCTTCAAGTTTAGATTCCCAACTAATCATACGTCTGGAAACTATTCGTCTAGAGACTGCCACAAGAACACCCCCACCCTCTTTTTTGTGAATTAATTCAGCACTACTCCTATCTCTTCTATGAACCACATACCTCTCGTCAAACAGCTCACTGTCAGATACCGAGTCGTTCAGCCACGTTTCCGTAAGAACAATTATGTCGTAGTCATTACAAAGCACTCCCTGAAGAAATTCATGTGTCTTTGTCCTCAGGCCTCGTGTATTTTGGTAATACAAACTAATAAAATCGAATTCTAAAATTAAATTGACAATAATATACTAGCTCCACAAGAAAATAAATCATAAAAATACGGATATAAACTAAAAATAAGGAAAAACTAATTCATTTTATGTTTTTTAACATGTCCAAACTCTTTACCAGAATGCACTCAGTCTCGTCGTTTTTCCTTAGAAAAACTCGGCCATTTCGAATCCAAACATATTTATATCTAAACTCCTTCGCCACTTTTCTAGCTGCTGCATGGAGTGCCTTGTTTGTGGGGGAGAGGTGTTCACAAACGTAGAGCGGAGCACTATTCCCAGAAAAACCCAGTAATGCGGTATTCAGTTTATTTTCAAGAGGTTTTCCTTTGTTATATTTAATACACGCAGCAAGAAGCTCATCACGTAATCTTGGCGAAGAGAGCTGAACAACTATCGATCTAGGGCGTGGAGAATTACGATTTTGCTTGGAAGTGCGGGTGCAGTTTACTATATCATCCTCCTTCAGCTGACATTTGACTGTTTTTCCCAGATCACAGACTATTTTTAGAAGGTTTTCGTTTTTGCTTTCCGGCACACATTGAAGTTCAACATTATTTTGTCTCGAATGTTGCTCCATTTGATCAATTATTCGATGTAGATTTTTAACCTTGGAGTCAAGGTCTTCTTTTTTAGCTTCCAATTCGGATATTCTAACCTTAAAAACCTCAACGTCCTTCTTCATGTCTTCATACTTGTCGTCTGTAAAGCTCAAAAACTTTTTAATTTCAGTCATATCCTCTTCCAACGCTTTTATCTTACTGTCAATAATCCTTCCAACGGTATCCTCCATCTTCAAAAATATCTCACCCACCTTCTTCTCCATAGCCTCCTCTATTAGTTCGCGCAAGTCATCCCGAGAAATACTACTTATCTGCTGGGTGGGCGGGGAATGAAGTGCCGGTCTTTTACTTCCTCTTATATTCGAAACGTTGCGAACAGGCGTGTGATCCTGCTTCACAGGCTTAGAGGTGCTACGACTACATTCCGGGCAATTCCAACCAGTCCGTAATTTCGTGTCGAACAGAGCCTCATCAAGAGACATGCATGCAAAATGAAAATTCTTTTTACACTTAGAACATATAACAAAGTCGTCGTTATTATCTGCTTGCGGCAAACAGCAACCCCACCTTGACCGTGACATCCTTTTATTCAACGGGGAGAATAATAATTAAAAATAAATTAAATATGTAGTAAGCTCAAATATTATCCTCGATGTCCTCTCAGAGTCAAATACGTTTATGAGTCTTATCTGCAGTTCTTAATCTATGATGTGTTGCTTGAAAACGTCATACAATGTGACAAGATCTTCTGCATGCGATAGTGACGCTTCTGCGCGGTGCGTAAGGTTGAGATTTGATCACTGATTCACCTCGGACACTTTGATTATAATATTCAACTGACCGCACAAATAATTACGAAAAAAATATTTCGCTGCGTAATATTAAGTTATTTACGATAATTTACAACTTTAGCACGGTTATTGAATTCACTAATGTATTTCAATAATATTAATGCACTGAAGTACTATAACTGATGTTAAAGAATATCAATACTAACAACTTTAAACTGATATTTTTGCGGAACGCGCTCAAAGAAGTGTTAACTGTCTTGAATGATGAATGAAAAAAATGTTTAATCGGTATCACTGCGCATGCGTTAACCGTGGTTATATCTGTCACTCCAGCGAGCGCATCGGTCTTTTGGATCGCGCGCGCCGGGGAGTGACAACATCTTGAAAACGCTGCTAACTGAAGAAGAAGAAGACTACGTCGTGGCGAGGGGCCGGCATCGTGTCATCAGTGTGTTCCTGTTTCAATGATGAAAGCGTCACCAAATCCAGCGGCGAGAACGTCTTTATAAATACACTATTGTTATCAATATGTGTACCTGTTTCAATGATGAAAGCGTCACCAAATCCAGCGATGAGAACGTCTTTATCAATACACTATTGTTATTAATATGCGCTTCCGTTTCAACGATGAAAACGTCGCCAAATCCATCAACGAGAACGTCTTTATAAATAAATAAACTATTGTTATTACTTCGTGTACGTGCTGCTACACATCAAACAATATTTTTTAAACACATTCATGTATGTTAATAAAACATGAATATACATATAGGAATAAAATGAAGAATCTTTACTAAGTTTCTAAAAACTTAAATAACAATTTCGTTAAGTTCACCTCATTAGGAGAATATAACATATTCAGACAATTTGGGCTAAAGTTTGTTTTGTCTACCGTGAAATAATTAGAAAGGAGACCAATCAAAGGTATTACAAAGGTGTGAAGACATTTTTGGACGAATAAAAAGCATATTTAACGAAACCATACCACCACGCATACCGTTCATTTGTAATCTTACGAAAACTAAAGGCGTCAGTCTTATGAGGATTTGTCATAGAAATGGTGTTCTATGTCAGTTATATGCAAAAATATCAGTGTTGTTAATTGTTTCAAATCTATAGTATACTCATCCACACATCTACGTCGCTACACGACGACATAGGTGGATTATGCTGTGCAAACATAAAACAGATTAAATCTACAATTACTTAAGCAAATAAAGATTGAATAATTGACATCTGACGTTAAACCTCAAAATTGACAAATGCCAACTTCAAGGGATAATGAAAAATATTATTTTCAATGTATTTAGTAATGTTTTATTGTATAATAAATAATTAGCTTTATCGTTGTACTTGAGCCAAGTACTAAAATAGCATTGACCTTCTGAAATTTTATTGTGAGCGATGGTTGAAAATGTAATAATAATTCATTAAACTAAGTGTATATATTCATTCTTGTTTTGTTTTAATATACATCGAATATACGTAAATAATATACAAATGAAATGCAATGTGCGTGAGATTGCTCAATTGAGCGACAAACCATGTATCATAGAGGGAAGACTAAATTACAAAAAAGTTGCCAATGGAAGTTATCGTAATCAAGCAGGTAAAATCTTTTTCATACTAACCCATTAGTATCAATCAGTTTCTCTACATTAAGAAATTTCATACCGCCTTGAACGTATAAGGAAAATTTTCAATTGATCTATTTATTTTAAATTACCTTATATAAGAACTCTTTGTTTTACAGTTTTTAAGGAAAGATGGTTTCGGCTCATAAACAATTATCTATTCTACTTTAAAATAAGTGACATGGGGAAGTTTGATACAAAGCAGCCGGCGGGTATGATGGTCTTAGAAAATTCATCCATACAAATGGAGCACGGTCCAAGCATTTCCTTTTCGTTTTCCATATCTTTTATGTATGTATATTTGTCAAAATTTACAAAGTTATTTTAATTATCACTTCAAGTTAATACTATCACTAATATGTTTGATTTAAAGATAACTTTTTAAAATAGATATGCACATAAAGATATATTGTTATAACAATGTTACTTAACATTTAGAAGATAAAACAAAATTGTTCTCTTATCTCATTGAAAGAATGTTTACTTTTGGTGGTAAACTGTTTTTCCTATAGAATGTTATATCTATTATCTTACATATGATATGGCTTGCTATTATTATTCAAATGTCCATTTTTATTTGATAAGTTCTCTGCTTGTTCACTCTTAAAGAAAATATATATTATATATATTGCAAAATAAAACATGTAAAGAATTACTTACAGGCCATAAGAGTTCATATATAATTAAAATTATATTTGTTTTCCTAATCTAAATCACCTTTTATTTATTCTAGAGATGAACCAGAGAAAAGACATATTTTTGCCGCTCGATCTGAAGATAATGTTGTACAGTGGGTTCTTAAACTAAGACAATGTTCATATGAGTATTTAAGAAATCAGTTGCACACGTTGCAGTCTAAAATATTTTCTATAACGGGCAAGGTGAGAATCAATTTCTATTAATTAAATATTTACTTTCATTCTAAAAAAAATTACTCATATAATGTTTGTAAGGCTGGTTATTATATGCAGAAATACTGAGACGGTTGTATTTTTTTTTGCAGGACCCCTTGCTGATGGTGCCAAGGAATGATGGTGCGTGCTTATGGGCTCCCTCTGTACCATTCTCAACCGCCCCTGCCTGTACTAAGAACACTACCTCATTTAGTTGCCATTTACATACAAATGGTGCATTTACCCTGGAAAGAAGTAAATCTGACGTCCAAGCTCATATGCACTTAAGAACAGATTATTACTCTAGTACGAAATTTTATGTAAGTGAAGTATCAAAGAAAGAAGAAATTACGGAAACATCTCAGAGTTACAGTCTGGAGAAAAGTAAAACATCGACTCAACATCTTGGGAGTTTGAATCCATTAGATATATCTATTTTTGATAATCGGCCGATGTACTCCCGGGCGGCGCCGAGTCCACCCGTCAGGACAAAACTGTCTCCCAACACTAGAAGGACAGAAATTAACAAAGAAATTAAGACATTCACAGACCTCAGTAAGAATATAGGACAAATGGGTATTTTAGATGTAACTCCTGTGCCACCTAGACGAAAAATATCTCCTAAACCAGTAAACGAAGCCGGTAAAGATAAAAATGATAAAAGTCTTAATAATGACATGTTGTTAGACTCTAGTGAAGATCTTATTAAATTGTAAAAGCTTTTAATTGAAATTTTTTGTGTTTATTTTTCATTTTATTATAACACTTTTGTAGAAAAACGCTTAATATTTGTGAAGTATGTTGGTCCCACCTTGTAATTTAAGACACTTGCCAGTAAAGAGTTATTTTTTTTTTTGTATTGTCAATAACCCTGTATTGTAAATAACTTTAAAAATGCTTTACTTAAATATAAGCTGTGATGCTAAAGTAGTTCTACAAGTTTTGCATTTAATAAATGTTGTTAGTTTAAAATATTTTTATATGTGTTTTACATACATATTTTTATGTAACTTTATATCGACGCTCTCATTTTGTCCAAAATATATTGTAGAATATAGATCTTGTATTATAATTGATAATATTACTTTTCTTATTGATCTTTGTTTGAGATTATCCAATTTTATAAAAAATTGTGGTGCCTTTTATGAATAATTAAATTTATACCCATATTTTAAGAAAAATTGTAATCATATATCTTAATGATATATTATGATTGATTTATTTGTAAAGGACTATACAATAATACTATATTAACTAGTCAACATTCAAGTAGTGTTCATAACTCACAACGACGAACAAACGTTCTTAAACTTTTTGTACACGCTGTCAATACTATAATAATAATAATTATATACACAATATTTTTTTAAATAAAATCAACTCTTCACAGGTTTTCACACGTTATTGTAGTCATTTATTTTATGTCCTATATGTATGTTTTTCTTTACCAGGATGTTAGGAAAAAAAAATGTTACATCACTGTTTTATTAGTAACTACTAACTAGGGTCATGCAATTATGAAAATCTCAGTGAAAACTCAATTAATGTTTTGCAATAACATAATGTAGTTCAAAATTCCATTATATTTTATCTTATTTTCTACTCTCAATTAGGTAATTTTTTTCTTAAGTTACAATTACATATAACTATAAGTACGTATTTCAACTTTGGTTTTAACTACCGTAAGGATGTGGGTTCGTTTAGAATTGACCTTTGTATATGAAAGGATTTTTTTTGATTTGAATAAATATGAATTTTATTTAATCATTACTAATGCTTATTAAAGATATTTTGATAACGTTTATAAATTAATGCTTTTAGACCTTGAATAAAATTGTATATACAGGGTGACTGGTGAATTACTATCAATATTTAAGGAGCATACTCGGTACATGATTCTCATTCGAATTATGTAAAAAAAATAGGCACTTAATTTTTGACAAAATTTCCGTATAAATAAATAAAGTGTTGATACGTTCCAAGTGTTCAAGTGTGGAGGCGTGCGGATACAACACTACGTCACGACATGCGTATGTGTGAGTGTCAGTGTATACCTAATCTGTAGGGTGTTCATACGATGCGTAATTAATTACACAACTTTTGGTTAAGTTTACTTAGAAGTTTATTAATATTTATGTTATATTAATTTTTATTTTGTCATATATGATCGTCAAATATCACGTCCTCAAATATTGATAGTAATTCACCAGTCACCCTGTATATTTGTCACAAAGGTGATATTATGTTTTTCTTAACCCCTTAATTATCATTTACATAACATCAGTAATTGGCTTGGTTCTAATGAATTTAATTTTATAAAAAATGCAAGTTAGAGTGACTCTCGTATAATAAGTACACTTGTCCAAACTGTGCTTCTAAGACACAGGTTAAGAAGCGTACTTTTTTTGTAACTAATTTCATCAACTCGGTAAATTTATTATTTTACTAACCCAAACACTTAAAACATAAAAAAATATGCATAATTAAAAATGTTTACTTTGGGACGCGGTATGAGAATTGAGAACTATGGAAGATAATAAGTCAAGAAGCTGGCTAACGGTAATCCTACAAACATTTTGCAAGGCAGTTTCGGATTATCAAAATTTATTGGATTATAGAGTAATGTCTAACAGCCCATATACAGTCTTTTATTACAAAAGGGTACCTTGTAACCCGACAAATTACAGGTACAATGGTAAAATTCTATATGTCTGAAGAATAAATCACACCGCTACCATAATCGTTTGTAGTCAAATTCAAACTAGGCAACAAGCCAACACGTTTAGCACAAAAATGGTGGTGTAGGATTTGTACCAAAGATTGACAGAGAAATATTCAATAAAGATTAATAATAGACTATGACGAATTATCGATGCTTTACTCCTCTTCTTCAATTTTTCTCCAACGTTGATTTTAAATGGAAAGTTCATTAAAAAAAAATTGCTGAAATATAAGAAAGAATATAAGATGCTCCAATTTTACAACTAGCCAATAATTAGGCGCCTGATTTATTGAGTGTAATATATTAAACATAGTATCTATATAGAATTCACTTGATGTCTCAAGTCTCAACAACTGAAATGTATCACCTTCCTTTTAATTACCACTATTATTTCCCTGGCGACTATAAAGCAGATAACTAGTTTAAATCATTAAGCCAATGAGCCCATTAAGAATCAAACACTCAAAAAAAAAAAAGAATAAACATAAAAATCATTTTATTATTCCATTGGTACATTCAGTGACTTATTTTCATTATGTTTTCTTTTCCGAGGCTTCGATTTTGACATTCTCTTCAACTCCTTAGATTTTTTCACTTTTTCATGAATTTCATTGTCAATTGATTGCTTTGTTTCACGGATTGCAGTTTGATATCCTGGCATTAAGTCTTGTAGAATTTCTTTCTGCATCTCTAATTGAGGTATATCAGATTTTCCACCAGATTGAAGTATGTCCTACAAAAATATTATAATAGGATAAATATATTTAAAATTCAAAATTTGGTGTAAAATATAAGTTTTATGAAAGTTTACCTTAAACATTTGCACTTGATTATGTACAATTATTGTAACAGCATTTCCAATTCTCCCAGCACGGCCCGTCCTGCCAACTCGATGGACATATGTCTTAATATTCCTTGGAGGGTCGTAAGATATAACATAGTTACAGTCAGGTATATCTATACCCCTGGCTAAGGCATCTGTGCATATAATACTGAAATGCAAGAGAAACCTTTTATAGAACTACAAAATATATTATTAAGAAAGCTTTTAAACTAGTATTTGGCTAACAAGACAGCCTGTGAAGTTATATAAAATACACATTATATAAAATGTTCCCTTTAGAACAACTAGAATTATGGAATAAGCAAGCATTATGTTATGCTGTGATTTAAACTAAATCCATGGGATTTTTCGCCAAATCACAATCCAGTCAGATTTTTCATGAAAAAGTAATAATACATGATCCTTACATTTATATTTATAATATTAGTACATAGTTTAATACATACACATTAATTTCTGATTGCTTAAACTTTCTTAGAACCAGTTCTCTACTAGTTCTGTCTAAAGCAGCTGAGAGTTCAGCCACCTTTAGGTTTCCTTTGCTCCATATATTGAGGAGAACTGTTAATCTATGTGCTGATTGAGATGAATTTGTAAAACAAAGAGTTTTGTCCCATTTGAGTTCAGCAAAGAAGTAATAAAATATCAGAGGTTTCTCCTCTGCGCTGCAAACAACATATTGTTCTTGTAATTCATCTGGTGTTGTGTATTTTTTGGATACATTGCTATCTGGGTGGTCTTGGATGGGAACTGCTGAAAATAGTTTTGGTTGGAAGAGTCCCCACTCCTCTAACAACTCGGGGTCCGGAGACAATGTTGCAGAGAACAAAAGTTTATGAACTGATGATGTCTGTGAGTTTAAACCAACCCAATTTAGATGTGGGACCTTATTTGATGTATGATTCTCCATTTTTATATGCTTTTCCATATGATAAAGCCAATCATTCTGAATATTATCCATAATCCTGTCAGCTTCATCAATCACCAGAAATTTCAAATTTTTCAGTGAAAAACCTTCAGTATTTTGCAAATGCTCCACTAATCTGCCAGCTGTGCAAACTATTATGTCAATTTCACATATCCATTTCAAGGTTTCCGCTAAAAACACAAATGAAAATTGTATATATTTAATATAGAAAAACCAAACAAAATAAGGAGAAAAATAAAGTGGTTACTAACTGAATCTCATAATTTGTTGCTGTTCTTTTTGTAATGGAGTAGACCCACTTAATAATTGAACTCTTAATCCTGTATTAGTACAATACTTTTTAAAAACTTGTGCAACTTGTATGGCAAGTTCCTGTACAGGTAACACAACTAATGCTCGTATGTGATGGCCAATTTGATTCATTAATACCTGAGATAGATAAAAAATCTTATTGTATTTTACTATATTAAAAACAAAAGATGTCATTTGCGTTATTACTTACTCACATTATGTATTAAATATATAAGAAATAGATAAAGATACATATTAGGTATATAAATGAATTGTTTACCTGAATAATTGGTAAAACAAAAGATAGCGTTTTTCCACTGCCAGTAGGAGCAGAGACGCATATATCATGTGGTCGTAAAAGTTCAGGATGTTGGTGTTGTTGTATAATGAATGGAATCACTTGCTCTTGTACTGGAAACAAGTGTGTCACACCTTCACTTGCCAAGGTGGTGAGAAGAGTATTATGTAGCCAACTTTGATCTTCAACTTTGCATGTTAGTGTTTGAAGGTTTTTTGACACACTGTAAGCATGTGATAGCCAATATGGAAGTACTCGTTCAACCTGGAATATTACAAAAGAAATTTTAGAACACAATAAAACTATTTGTAATTTGTCGTGTGTATTATGCTAAGTGGCAATACTGAACGGCAGAAACTAATGTAAGAAAGTAATCTATGTAAATCACTCTTGATATCATATAATTATTAAACGATACCGAGCAAGTATAACTAATACATAACAGTAATATTAAACTAAATAAATATCTATACACTATACTTAATTTAAAGCCTTGATGTTTGAAGACTAATATTAATAGATTTATCTGCATTTTTTAAAATCAATAGCTATATATACTCTCATTTTTATTAAGTTATTAATTTAAATTTATTTGGATCATTTAAGTTATGGAGCATCAAATTAAAAGTTTTAATCATCAAACATTTAAATTTTATTTCAAATTAAAAAGTTTGTAAATATCTGTATAAGAATGCTAACTAGCATGTAACATAACTAAGTACGTTCTATTAGAAATATGACAAATTAATGTAGCTGTAATATTTACAAAAATATTTCTTTTAACAAAAAATACTCACTAAATGTTTAGAAATAAGACAGATTAAGTAGTAACAGTACTATTAAGACTAAAACAAGGAAAAACAAGACATATTTACATTTTAAATATTAAATACTTAACTTACTTTAGATTTTTTTTCAAAGTCCGTAGTGCCCAATACTTTAAATTCAGTGGCAACTTTTTCTGACTTCTTTTTGTTACTTGCTATTATTTCATTATTTGATTTCTCTTCTCCTGACTTTAGTTCAGGTTCAAATACTTTATTTTCTGCTGGAATATCTTGAGGACCAGAATCTGTTAAAGGCTCATCGTTTTTAATAACTATAACATCATTATTTATCTGGGACTTTCGGTGTGTTTTCTTTCTTTCTTCAATTTTTTGTTTTAATCTTTGGAGGTGTAATGTTTCCTGATTAATCAAGTCATCTTTTTCATTATTTTCTTTGTACCTAAAACGTTATTCATTATTTATAAAAAATACTTGAAACACACACAATGTGTCCAAATTCAAAATTAATGACAAATATATGTACAAACCTATTTATTACAAACAAATCCATTTTTAACTATTTAATGAATTCAATAATGTAGTTAAATAATTAGCTTATTATATTTATCATCAAAAATGTTTCTTATAATATTGAACCCTATCATAAACATTCATAACATAACCTCAATTTAAAATGTGTATTTGACATTTGATTTCTTAATGACGTTCCATAATATTTTTTTTGTAAACTATGTACTAATTATTTAATATCAGTAACATAAAAAAATGAATTATATTAATATGACTCTGTTATTTTATTATTTAGTTCAAGTTTTTTCTGGAATAAATTATTTTTTTTTTAAACAATATTAAGCTCCTATTTATGATTTTAAATACCTTTGTTTTATGAAGTTAATTTAATTCTTTTTGTAATTGATATTTATTGAAATTTAATTCTATTAATATTACAAGTTTAGTCCAAATTATTTACTTATAATCATTAAAATTGGTCGGTAACCGTATTAAGGTTTTTAAGCTGTATATTAAAAATCAAAGTCGTGTTTATAACAAAAAAAGCTAAAAGTCGTCAGTCGTCAGATTAAATGAGCATTATTTTTCGATTATTTCGGTGGCAATAGGTTGTTTTCTGGATTCATACAAATGTGTTTAATTCGGCTGTCTGTTCAATAAGTGTTAAGACTTCACATGATTTTTTTACATTTCTAATTTCTTGTGTTCTGATCTCAAGACTGAATCAAAATGGCTAGTGTTTCGTATCAAATCGCTAATCTTCTTGAGAAGGTAACCGGTGCTTTTGCTATTAAGAATTAAAGATAAAATTTAGTCTAAAAATAAATTTTCTTAAAATATTTGTATAGTTAAATCTAAACGATCATTTATATCTTTTGTTTTAGATGACATCAAATGACAAAGACTTCAGATTTATGGCGACAAATGATTTGATGACTGAATTGCAAAAAGATAGCATTAAGCTCGATGATGACTCTGAGAGGAAAGTCGTAAAAATGCTTCTTCGCCTGTTGGAAGATAAAAATGGAGAAGTTCAGAATTTAGCTGTTAAATGGTAGTTTATTGTATTCCCAAATGTAAACTGTTGTTGTGTGAAACAATTGTACATTTTACAATTATTTTATTTCAGTCTTGGACCTTTGGTAAACAAGGTGAAAGAATGTCAAGTGGAGGGTATTGTTGATACCCTCTGTGCCAATATGTTGTCAGACACTGAACAGTTAAGAGATATTAGTAGTATTGGACTGAAGACTGTAATCTCTGAGCTTCCATTGGGCTCTAATATTCTTGCAGCAAATGTATGTAAGAAAATTACTGGGAGGTTAAGCAGTGCTATCGAAAAGGTATGTATGTTTACAATATATCATTATGTAAAATATGTGTGTCAGTGTTTTAAAAATGTCGGTTTGATTTGCAGCAAGAAGATGTATCAGTCCAACTTGAGGCTTTAGATATCTTGGCTGACTTACTCAGTAGATTTGGCGGGTTGCTAATAACCTTTCATCCAATGTTATTAGACTCTTTACTTCCTCAACTTGCATCTCCCCGTCAGGTAAAAAATAATATCACTATAATTATAAAAACTTGAGTTCATTACTTTAATTTTAATATTTTCTTTTCCAGGCTGTACGTAAACGTACAATCGTTGGTTTGTCTCATCTTGTTATGTCCTGTAATACTTCTTTATATAACAAACTCATTGATCACTTATTGGAGGGTTTGAGTACTTCAACATCATCAAGTGTCAGTCGTACCCATATTCAATGTATTGCTTCAGTATGGTAAGTATTTCTTAACAAATATTAAATAATCTTAAGTGACATGTTGTATGAAATTAAATCTGGTTTCAGTCGTCAAGCCGGGCATAGATTTGGTGAGCAGTTGTGGAGAGTGGCTCCTCAGGTTTTGAAACATTCAACAGATCAAGATGAGGAGTTACGTGAACATTGCCTTCAAGCCTTGGAAGCATTTGTTTTGAAGTGTCCTAAAGAAGTGCAGCCACATATTCCAACTGTAAGATATTATATTTTAATGGACATTTATCAGAGCAAAATGTATGTTGGTATGATTGTAAAATTAGACTTGGCGGTAATTTATAAAGATTGTTTGAATTCACTAGCAGGAGGTTATATTTATATTATAGACATAATAAATAAACTAATATTGCAAAATAATTCTCAAAATTAATTTATAAATATATTCCAGATCATTGATCTATGTCTTAAAATGATAACCTATGATCCAAATTACAACTATGAAGATGATGAAGAAGGTGGTGGTGGTGGGGAGGACGAGGAAATGGAGGATGAATCTTTTGAACTGGCTGAGCCCGAGTCAGACTCTGAGGAATACTCTGACGATGATGACATGTCCTGGAAGGTAGATATATGTTATACATACAAGTTAAATGTTTGTTGTATTAACACCATAAGATTAAGTATAAAATATTAGTGTATCTATAAGTGGTGAACCAAAACTCATGAATTTATTATTTCAATTTGAAACAACTCATTTTCTTTACATAGTCCTGGCAACTATTATATTTTATTCAATTTTTCTCAACTTCAAATCCCCGTAAAAGACTCTTTGTTCACTATCAGAAAACGGTTAGAGCAGTCAACTTAACTGTGATTGTGATTTTTTTTGCTTCGGAGATATGTTCCTTTAGCTGAGAAAAGAAATACGTTACTAGAGGCCAGGAAGCTTCTGGAATAGCAATTATCATTATGGCGTATTTAGGCGTAGGCGTAACTCTGAGACGAAATGTTTTACAACATTTCGTCTCAGAGTTTGCAAAGTTGATTTTTTTTAAGTCTTCTGTTTTTTAAGTGTGTAAAAAATCGAAGTCCCTAAACTTTCTTGTCAAATTTGACACTGAACTTCTTTGGAGTATGAGAAGAGTTTAGCTCCAGATAATTCTGAATCATAACGTTGGGTCCAGGTCTCACAAATAGTCTCTAAACAATACTAAAATAAACGCAAAATCCATCTAACAAGCAATAATCACACGTATTTTCTTTTGTTCGTCGGGTTCTTTCTGCGCTTCCAAAGCACAGAGGCCCTGTGAATATGCAAGTAATTCGTAAAGATTCTTTTGACGCTGCCATTTGAGATCTCTCACACTTTAGTTACTTTAAGTATGATCACTCCGACTTTTTTGACGTTTTCTGCATAGAGGAACTTGGATTCTTGTCAACTACGATGAAGTGTTTGTCTTTTCGGTAGACTCCTTTTTAAACATTGACCCAGAAACCCTTTTTTTAACGTACGAATTAATATTCGTGGCCTATTTATGTTTTCTCTATAAATATTTGACTATCATTACTTTTGGATCACCACCTATATAATTGTGTTTAATATAGATGAATGTGTCACTTAATATGTTTTTGTTATATTTAAATTTATTATTAATAACTTTTATATATTTTACTCATTGCGTCCAGGTGAGGCGTGCTGCTGCTAAATGTTTGGAATCCGTGATCTCAACGCGTCACGAACTTTTGGCTGAAATGTATGTGACTGTGTCACCTGCATTGATTGCAAGATTTAAAGGTATGTATTCTTTTACTTAGATGCCTGTTTAGTGAAGTCGTTAACATTTTCATAATTCAGAACATTGCATCATTAAAATCAAATACGTATATCGTTGAAAATGAATAAAAAAAAAGAACACGTGAATAACCAATATATTAAACTTAGCTATCATAATGATATCTAAGACTTTCGCGAGTGTTTTTTTAAATAAAACTAAGATCTTGGGATATACGCGCTTTTTTTAAGTATCAAAAATAATTTCACATCTCGTCTACCCGTTATCACGGTTGTTACAGAGGAGCGGAAACGTCGGGAGCATGTACTTTTTAAAATAATAAAAAAGTGGTGTACCCGAAAATTTTAGTTTTATGTAAATTGAGATATGTTAATCGATAATAAAATTAACACCTTCTCGATCACATATTTTTATTGTAATTTAATTATTATAATCAGAAGTACTTGTTGTAAATAAATACAATATAAAAATTTATCATTAGAATAAACCCAATTATAATATACTAGCTGCGGCCCGCGGTGTTACCTGCGGACTTCCGGGATTTCCGGGATGTAAAGTGGCCTATGTGTTATTCCTGGACGTCAGCTTCCTGTATACAAAATTTTATCAAAATCGGTTCAGCCGTTTGATCGTGAAGAAGTAACAAACATACACACACACTCACAAACTTTCGCAATTATAACATTAGTAGGATATAGTATTTACCGTACATTGTCAGACTGAAACATTCTTTTCTCTTATATTTGAATTATTCTACATAAATCTCCTTTTTTATTAAACTTGAAATAACATTTTCTTTATTTTTTTCAGACCAAAAACTATAAATCTTTAACAAATTTTCTAAAAGTTACATACAATATTACGATTTTCTTTAATTAAATTGAAAATTCATGCAAAAGTAAATATGTACTCAATTTGAAAATGCTATAAAATATTTTTTTCCGCATTTGAAGGATGATTAAATAAAAGAATAGAACATATCCAAAGTTGATCAAAATTTAAATCAAATATTAGTTTTATGGTAAATTATCACATAATTATTAAAATATGTTTAGTAACAAGATCAGAATAGACTTTTTAAAAACCAATATTCGATACAATTTCATTATCAATTTATAAAATTTACACAAAACTAAAAACAATTTTAAATTAATAACTTTCAACTACTATCTTGTTTTAAAGTGATTGTGAGATGAAATCTGAATATAACACAAACAAAAGATTTAAACATATTCGGTTAATTTGTGACACATACATGCATTATGTAGGCAAACAATGTCCTGATCTCTTCTGACAATTGCTTATATGTCGTTCCTACCCTCTTATATTCCTATAATATATATATTTTTCACAGAGCGTGAGGAAAACGTGAAGTGCGACATTCTATCAGCGTATACAGCTTTACTGCGGGCGACTCGGCCCCCGCCAGCACTACACACGCCCTTGATACCGGCGGCCGACAGTCCGCAGGCACTACTACTACAAAGAGTATGAACATTATGTATTCATTCATAATTACTTCAATACAACCATTCGAAAGACAGTGTTCATTTAATTTGATAGTGTATTGGATATATACATTTTTTGGTATATTCATACATATACGTACTATCACCTAAAGGTTACATGATTTGTCTTTTAATTATAAATAAATATTATTTCCAAAATCCGTCCCCAGGTGGCGGGCGTGGTGCGCGGAGCCCTGCGTGTGATCCGCGGACGGAGCGTGCGGGCCCGAGCGTGCGCGCTCGCTCTGTTGAGGGAGCTGCTGGCGGCCGCGCCCGGCTGTCTGGCCGACCACGCCGCGAGGGTCATCAGGGCACTCACTCCACCACTCACGTGAGATACATTAAATAAAAACCTTTAAAATGATATCCCACTATTCTCCAACTACATTTGTCCTTTTTTTTAATAACATCTAAATTAAATCTTTTGGATATACAATTAAACTCCATAAATCTTGTTGTTGTTGTATGGTTTGATGGAAAATGTTTATTTAAAAGCACTGCAAAACTAAGTATGTTCGAACTTTTTTAAACTTCTTTAGCTGAGATAATTTTGAGATGTAGAAAACGAATAATAATTTATTGAGAGATCACAATACTTCTTCTACTTCTACCTGGCAATTTCCCGGCTATAGCCAGGGTCTGCCTTACTTGTTGTGAATAGTTTTGGCTAATTGTTTTTTACGACCGGTCGCCTGCCTGACATCAACCCTCTTTTGGGAATCAACATTAATTAGTGATGTCTAAATATTCTTAGAATGTACATATGACTCGGAAAAATCACATTGGTACTTTCCGGGCCAGGATCGAGCCCGCACTGTCGGCAACGAGAGGCGGGCCCTCTAATCATTAGGCCACCACTAATTTTTTAAGAGATCACAATATAATTTAAAATTTATAACAGCTAGGAGCATTTAATTTTTTTCCGTTCTCATAAACTGTGTATAGGATTTTTTTCACCGAATTCTTCCACTTAATCCGTTATATTCTAAACATCAAGAGAACCGTCGATCTTTTAGTTCTTTTTACATGTATATAAATATTTATCGTCCACAGCGACAAAGGCACCGCGTCGTCTATGAAGATCGAGACGCTGGTGTTCGTGGTGTGGCTGGTCCGCGGTCACGCCGCTGACTGTATGCGGCCGCACGTGTCGGCGCTGCTGCCGGCCGTGCTGGCCTGTGTTCATGACCCCTTCTACAAGGTGACAGCGGAGGCGCTACACGTCCTGCAGACGCTCGTCAAGGTCATGCGCCCACTCGGTCAGTCAACATGACGCTAATATAAAGTTTAATAACTTACCTAAGGTAGCAGATAGAATCTGTCAGATATCGAGAGGCAATCAACGTTAGTTATAATATTATTATATTCAGACGTTTCACAATTTACTAGTAAGGAGCCATCCATAAAGTACGTTACTAGTTCATGAGGAGTGACACCGAACTGTGACAACGTGTGACAAGTGACGTGGGGGGGAATAGTTTTATAACGTCATATATTATAATTGTAAATACTAAAACGCAAAGCTTGGATGTGAATTGAAAATTAAAAAAAATACGAAGTTGATCTTTAATTATTAATAATTTACCATTCTCGCCATGATATAATGTCTCATACAAAAAAATTAAAATTGCTGTTTAGTCTCGATTATTTTGAAAAATGCGATAACCTATGTGTGACAAGGATGGGGTAGGGGTTCAAAAGTTCAAAAATTCATTTATTTATTTGGGAAACAAACAATTTAAAAACACTTTAATATATATGACGGCGCATCCGTCAAAAATCATACGTCAGGTTGACTTTTAGCTGTCTGAGGTTAGCCTAGTGAAGCGTCACTGTCGATGGTAGCGAGGGCGGCCATCTTTATTATACAGTTTTCGTTCGGGATGACGCCCGCGCACCGCGCTCGTGACGAATCGCTGTGTATCGAAGTGATAGTGATATCTAGTGTTTCGATTTAGTTGGTGTCGTATTGAATAGACTGTACTTTATCCCTTTCAAAGTATGAGTTCCCATGAAGGCCCTCCTGTTCTTACAACGCCCTCCTACATCAGAAGTGGGATCGAAAGGGCTTTAAAATGAGGAGAGTAGTGATCATCCATCTATGTTAAACTTTGTAAAAAATAATGAGAAACTTGTCAATGAAAATAATGTCAACTTCTCAACTAACTTCGACGACGTAGTTGATCCGGTTCAATCTGGATCGTACGGAAGCAGATATAAAAGTTAGGACATCTCGTCGCGTCTTGATCGTAAAAAATACCGGTAATTGAAGCTCGCCGGTGAAGGAGATATCTGTGTGACCATAAGCCGAACCGAGGAGAGTTGACGACGTCATCTGGTGAGACTGTTCCTTTTCTTTTTAGTAGTGGGTGTACTTGTTCATGTAGTACTAATGTGTGTCTGTATCTGAAAATTTTTCAAATAAATTTCTGTGTACTTTGAGCAATGAAGTAGTTCCCCTGAAAGGCATCTGAACGCGTAGTATACGGTCGAAGCGAACGGGCGACGATATGAGTTTCACGCTTACCCACCACTTCGTAATATTTTAATATTAGATCGTATTAGCGAATAAAGGTCATTCAACCTTGCGCTTCGGTACTGAATACTCTAGTCATACTTCGTGTACATTAACAGTCAATTATTATTAGTGTTTCTACGTCTATAGACTTATTGTAATACACAAATTTTAAGCCCGGTCATAATTCAAAATGTTTCAGTGTCTCTTTTGTTTCATATTATTAAAGAGAATATTATTTTTGAATCCGTGGTTGTTGGACGGGACCTTGTAGAGTAGGGAATTAAAGGAGAAATAAACAGTGACTACATTATTTTCTCAAAACCTGAAACGACAAAAACAGATAAGTGCTCAACCTCAGACAATCTTAACTTTTCTCGTATCAAAACTTATTTGGAAGGCGACGATAACAAAGCCCTTATCGATGTTTTTAAGAAGTATAACTCATTTTGTTATTAAGGGCACCTCTTAACTCTTTAGACCCTAATTCTTTAGACCCTAACATAGTCTAAGAGAGACCTTACAAATTATAAGAGGTTGTTCGATATAAAAAAAAAAAAAAATGGATGCCCTCTTTGAAACAATCATTTTACACTTTATCAAGCCCCATTCTAATTGTAAAAAACGAATGACAACTCTGACATAATGTATGTTGACTCTAGGGAGATTAACACCAATTCTTATAGTAAGCCTTTTGTTTTAGAAATTTTATACCGAACTATTTCCGCCTAGTACGATCCTTATGTCTACTCACTAAGTTAAAGGGTTTAATTAAACGGTCAGAAGTCCACGGTAATATCCGTAAATGGATAGTTCAAATACTTACCACGGAGTCTATTCTAACTATATTTGATCGCGAGCCTCCTATAGAATTACACACGAATGCCAGCGCCAACGGATACGGTACCATTTTAATTAAATGAAAGAACGGAGTTCCTCACGTTATTTCATATTTCAGTCGCCGGAAAACTGACACGGAATAAAAGTATCATTCTTATGAACTTGAGACCTCGGCAGTCGTTCGAGCGGAAGAATATTTCAAGCAAAAGCTATATGGTCATCATTTTATTGTTTTCACGGGTGGCAATCCTTTCAAAGCTTCTTAGTTAAAAAAAAAAAAAAAAAATTAACACCGAGAGTACATAGATGACCCTGAGCAGGGCACTTCCAAGAGCGACAAAAGCAAGGCTCAAGTAGTTAATAAGTCTGTGCAGTTTGTAGAGGTAAATCAAGGGTGGTTAGCGGTAGAACAAAAACGTGATGCATATGTTCAAGATATTGTTGCTCAGCTCTTAAATAATAAGTTTCCCGATTCAATTAGTCACATCTACGATGTTAGAAACAATATGCTATATCGAAAAAAAATTGAACGAAACAAAGTTAGTCGTTGGTAACCTATCGTCCATCAGTCCCTTGTATGGACTTAAATCAACCATATCCATACTGAGATAGACACGTTTAGTTTCTTGATGGAGTGCAACGCAGGCAGGTATTTTTAGGTGTTCTAGGATTTGGTCCAGTCACCTTTTGGGATTTAGTCCTCTAGTTCGGTTACCGTCCACTTTTTCAATCACTAGCGGACGTTTAAAGCTGTCCGTAGTTCTGTCAGGGAACTGACCAATCAACGCCAGTATGTGCTGCAAATAATATATATATTAGATAAGCGCTGACCATATTTTGAGGTATGCGTAACATACTTCGTCATCACCACATTCCTAAGGCATCAATTCTTTGCCTGTCAACGACTTTCATAGTCCACGTCTTTGCACTATACAGAATCGGATAGCTAGATAGATAGAAATATAGAGAAGGCAAGCGTTCGTATCAGATGCATTTTTTGTTCCATTAATAATTTTCCTATCTCTCCAAATTTTATTCAGTGGGGTTATTGCTATTTTGGCCATGTAAATTCTCCTACGGATTTGCATACATTTTATTGGCATACTATTCACATAGATATGACTGGGACATTAAGTGGCAAAAGCGACAGAAAAGAAATACGCGTCAGTAATGATAGATTATGTTATCAAGTATGTCCTTTAAGAGCATACTCTATCCCTCGATGCCAGTTGTACTATTAAAGCGTTGAGAAAAGCTGTTTCTCTTTTCGGTGTTCTCAAGCGAATTGTTATATCGGGGAAGGGGCTTTGTAAGCGCGGACTTTAGAGAATTGAGTAAAACACCTCGTATAGAACTTTACTTTATAACAACAGGGGCAAATAAAGCCAACGGTCAAGTAGAAAGGGTCATGCAGATTTTAAAATGTCTGCTAACTATTATAGAAAACGATACCCATAAAACGTGGCGTGACAAACTTCCTGAGGTACAAGGGACGAAACCTCTTAGCATTCAATGGATTCACCGTGCGGGTGCCGGGTCCATCGCGTTGCAGGGAGGGGAGCTTCAGCAGTGCCGGGGACTTGCGACCCAGGTGTGGGTTTAAGGGGCCCCTTTAACTAACGCGCGTTGTACGCTCACCTCCACTGTCCAAGTTTCTCTCCCTACCTAGCCAAATTTGAAAACTACTACTAATTGAACCTACTAGGGCTGAATTCGACGTACGTTCCAAGAATGAATTAATGTTAGTTCTGGACGGGCCCAAGTCTTTTAGTAGGTTGTAGAGAGATTTAGCTGTTATACCTCTCGCTCCCACCTCTACCGCGTACGAATCAGCGACGAACCTATTTCGAGTTAGTTCGTTAGTGAGCTCGTAATACTTAATGACAACGCGCTTTGAAATACGCGAATATAGAAATATGTCTGGTCTAGAGGCTGACGCACAAATATCCTCGGGGATTTTGTGTTGTTTCTCACACGTATCCATCATGATAGTCTAATCCGAAGCCGCTTTAAGGATAGAGTAAGGCTTGACGTTTGATTTTGTAGCCCTGGTGCTCTCTCTCATAAAACCTATTGATCGTTCGTTTGTGGTTGTTTCCCTTTGCGCTCTGGCTACCGAAAGACTGGCCGCTTCACGTATGATCTCTAAAACCCTATAGTGACGACGCGAGAGTTGACCGCTGTCCAGGAGAACCTTACATCTCACTAGCAAATGCTTAGCAGTTCCAACTGCCTTTCCGCAGATATAGCAAGTGTTTTCGGTACCTTTACCCCATCTTACTGAATTGCTCTGGTCTGGGAGAGTCATCTAGCACTTAATAACACAAGCCGTAGGGTTACAGGATATACTCCAACAGAACTAATGTTTTGCATACGCGCTCAATCTTTAGGGATATCATTAATAGCCCAAAATTCAGACGAGCCGAGATTAGATTTAGACAATATCCGGAATAAAACTTCCCTCAACACTGAAAACGCAGATCAAAAGGAAGTAGTTAAATTTAATAAAGGCAAAGCCCAAGTAAAACCTACGCCGAACATACCAACCTACTTACAGGAAAGGTTTAATTATCTGGGGAGTTCTAGTAAATTTTTAAGATCACAAAATAATTTAATACTTACAATTCCTTCTCACAGTACAAAATTTTATAAAAAATCTTTCACTGTACAAGCTGTACAACTATGGAATGCATTGCCTCTGTTTATCAAACAAGCAAAAAACCTGTCAATCTTTAAAAAACTTGTGAAAGACCATTTTTTGGCATTGAATTATGGCGACAATATATCTGATATTTGATATAGCATTTTAATGTATGTATGTATGTATGTATGTATGTATGTATGTATGTATGTATGTATGTATGTATGTATGTATATATGTATGTATGTATGTATGTATGTATGTATATGTGTATGTGTGTATGTATGTATGTATGTATGTATGAATTTGTGTATGTATATATGATAATTATTATTATTGAATATAAATTGTACGATTTACGATAAATTTGACACCACCCTTCTCTCAAATCACGACTGTGTTCCTAAGCCCATAAGGTTGTCTGGAAGATATCGCTACCTAGCGATAAGACCGCCTTATTGTGCAACATAATTAATATTTTATTTATGTTTCATTGTTAAATTTCTATGCTGTTGGTGTACAATAAAGTATATTATTATTAAAACCTTCTTTTCTTTCTCGGGGAGATTACGTTTTTGTTAAGTGTAGCGAGTGTTACCAAACTAAACTACAAAGAAAGTTTAGGGGACCTTTTATCATAATTAAAATTCTAGACAACGATAGGTACGAACTGAAACATACCGATGAATCTAATCACACTTTAAAATACTCTCATGAAAACTTGCGCGCAGTACCCAGAGGCTTTGAAGGGTTAGTTGACATATCCACTGAACTAGGTAATGAGGAGGCCGAGACGGCGGGTCATGGAGTGGAGAGAATGGAAACGAAGCTTTATCAGATGATGAAAGTGAGTAGCTCTGATGGCCTCCAACATTGATAAACCATAAATGAGTTGTGTAAGTTTGAGTTGGTGTGTTTGAGGTGGCGATGGAACTGGCTGATGCGGCCGATGTTTCTAGTAGTGATGGATCAAAGCGTGCAGGGGCTGGCTCGATGGAGTCCACGTCCGGTCGACGCTTGATCAGGTTGTGAAGATGGACGGGCTAGCTCGGTGGAGTCTATGTCCGGGTCATCGTTCACTCACATGAGTTTGGCTAGTGGAGATGGACGGGCTAGCTCGGTGGAGTCTATGTCCGGGTCATCGTTCACTCACATGAGTATAAGTAGTGGAGATGATGGGGCTAGCTCATTGGAGTCTACGTCTCGATCATTGTTCACTGATATGTGTGTGATGATGCTCTGCAGATTGGTCAGACGAAAGTTGTCGTCCGGGTCAGATCCATTTACGTTGGCTGACTTGTCCTGGAACCTCTGCAGATTGTGGTAAGACGAAAATTGTCGTCCGAGTCAGAGCCATTTACGTTGGCTGGCTTGTCCTGGTTGCTCTGCAGATTGTGGTAAGACGAATAGTGTCGTCCGGGTCAGATCCATTTACGTTGGCTGACTTGTCTTGGAACCCCTGCAGATTGTGGTAAGACGAAAATTGTCGTCCGAGTCAGAGCCATTTACGTTGGCTGGCTTGTCCTGGTTGCTCTGCAGATTGTGGTAAGACGAATAGTGTCGTCCGGGTCAGATCCATTTACGTTGGCTGACTTGTCTTGGAACCCCTGCAGATTGTGGTAAGACGAAAATTGTCGTCCGAGTCAGAGCCATTTACGTTGGCTGGCTTGTCCTGGTTGCTCTGCAGACTGTAGTAAGACGAATGGTGTCGTCTGGTTCAGATCCATTTACGTTGGCTGACTTGTTCTGGATGCTCTGCAGACGGTAGTAAGACGAATGTTGTCGTCCGGTTCAGATCCATTTACGTTGGCTGACTTGTTCTGAATATTTTGAGCATCGTGGTAAGACGAATGTTGTCGTCCGGGTCACATCCACCAAAGGACCGACCTGTCCAATAGTACCTACTAATTGTGAACAGTTGACCTACATGCTGTTAAGTGACAAGGCGTTGTCGTCCGGCTTAATTGTTACGTGATGTTCGCCTTAAGTCTTAAGTATCATAGCACATTTTGATGATTGTAACTAGTCGTTTGTCAGGATGCCGAACGGAATAGACACAACTGTAGTTCATTGATCCGAGAACCGCCCGAGGACGGTCGAATGTCAGTCCGGCCGTGACGGCGCATCCGTCAAAAATCATACGTCAGGTTGACTTTTAGCTGTCTGAGGTTAGCCTAGTGAAGCGTCACTGTCGATGGTAGCGAGGGCGGCCATCTTTATTATACAGTTTTCGTTCGGGATGACGCCCGCGCACCGCGCTCGTGACGAATCGCTGTGTATCGAAGTGATAGTGATATCTAGTGTTTCGATTTAGTTGGTGTCGTATTGAATAGACTGTACTTTATCCCTTTCAAAGTATGAGTTCCCATGAAGGCCCTCCTGTTCTTACAACGCCCTCCTACATATAATAAAAATAACTAAAATCACAAATCAATCAAGTTTCCACTTAAAATCAATTCTTTGCAAATTTATTATTACATGAGGGTACAAAGAACAGAAAATTATTTCTAGCACTAAGACGAGGACATTTAAATAATATTTACTTAGAAGATATTTAGAGTCAACCATGTTATTAATTATTTTATACAAATATATTTGGTCTCTTAATTGCCTATTGCAATGTAACGTAATAGTAATAGCCCCTAATGCAATATCTTCCAATATGTTTGACTAACAGTCAGTTAAATGTTGTTATATCAGAGGACATCTCGCGGGGCGTGTCCGGCGTGTCGGGAGTGGGGGAGCGCGAGGTGGCTGACTGGGTCCGCGGTATGTACGACTGTACGCTGGTGAGGCTGCGGGCTACTGACATGGACCAAGAGGTCAAGGAGCGGGCCATCGCCACCGCCGGGCAACTCATATGTCACTTTGGAGATTACTTGGAGGTGAGATGTAAAGGGTTTATTTATTTTGCAGTGTTTGTATACATTATATAGAAAGTGATATTGTGAGAAGAAATGACGAATCTGATACAAATAATTTTCGTGTTTAATAAATTTTATTGTGAAAAATTCGGAAGTTGACTATACAATATATTTATTTATTTTATTTAAGTCATTTATTCTCTCTTCACAAAATACTTGATACACATCATCTTATATAATGTATAATGATGTATATCAATTATGAACAAAATATAAATATGTAAGAGAAATATTCATCGAAACGTGAAACTTGGAATATCACATTTGGGTTGTACGACATGTTCCGCGGTCGTAGGTGCAAATTATATTCGTATCGCAAAACTTATCGTTTCTCTACGTCATAAATGAATTTAAATTCAAATGTCAGATCAAAATTGTTTTATTTTTTTAAACATATGAATTTTACAAATAATAATTGCCAAAGTTGGTATATCTTTTAACCCTTTATATATATATTTAATAACAATAGACATTTAATCTGTTGCTATATATGATTCGACTAAGTTAACAATATTGCTTCACCTGGTTTATCTTGCAACAAATTATAAGATTGAATTGTACTTTGTGTATATGATTAAATTAAAGATGAGACGTGAAACCCGTTTTTTTTATACATAATATTTTCTTTAGAATGAGCTGCCGGTGTGTCTCCCAATATTTTTGGAGCGATTGAGAAACGAAATTACGCGGTTGACGACTGTGAAGGCTCTCACTAAAATCGCTTCTTCACCTCTACGTATTGACTTGCGGCCGATATTGGTAAGAAACCTTATATAAAGAATTATTTTCTATTTAAAATGTATTATGTAACACGTAAAAATTAATTTTAGAGCGACGCAGTTCCGATTCTCGGCTCTTTCTTGAGGAAAAATCAGAGGGCCTTAAAACTGTCAACGCTGGTTTTATTGGATACACTCGTACAAAACTACAGTAACGCTATCAGTATAGAGCTACTAAGTAAGGTGAGTCGATTGTTACTGGTTGTTAAAAAAGAAATATAAAAAAAGTTGTAGATTTTATTTCGGCAAAGAATTTTAGGAATGAACAACATATTTGAATAAAATTTACTAAGATATCAATTTTGTATTGGCATAAATAGTATTGTAGGTTGTGATGAGACAAACTACTTAGTTGTAAAGTTTAAAAATAATGTGTTAATATGTAACATTTCACTGTAGCTCAGCTCTTAACATAGCTATCAAAATACTTACTAGGGTTATCCATCATGAAAAAAATGCTTAAGGGTATTGATATTAAAGTCATATTATATGTCTAGGTGCTCATGGAGGTGCCAGCCCTAGTCTGTGAGGCGGACCTTCATTGTGCTCAGACAGCGCTGACTCTGGTCCGCGGCGCCTGTGAGAGATGTCCGGCCGCACTCACACCGGACGCACGGCACGCACTCACACCGAACATACTGGCGTTGGCACGATCCCCGCTGTTGCAAGGTGATGTTATAATGATCATTGATATATGTATAAAACAAAAAATTATCCAACTATGCAATCTTTTTTTTTTTGAGGAATCCATAACTATAAAGTGTCACCAAGGATAATCTATACTAATATTATAAAGCTGAAGAGTTTGTTTGTTTGTTTGAAAGCGCTAATCTCCGAAACTACTGGTTTGAATTGAATAATTCTTTTTGTGTTGGATAGTCCAGTTATCGAGGAAGGCTGTAAGCTATATAACATCACGCTACGACCAATAGGAGCAAAGATATAGTGGTAAATGTGTAAAAAACGGGAAAAATTATTTCATCTTTGAATCCTTCCGTTGCGTGCGCCGTGAAAACGGTTCAAGATACACAAAAAATATGTATTAAAGAATAATAGCTCTTTTAATGATCTAAAAAACAGTCCGCGACAGTATATGTCTATCTTTTAAGATTAACTCACAAAAACCGTTTTTATGGTACCCAATTTGGTCGAAATAATTTTATAAAACCTTTATTCAAATAAACAAATAAATATGTTGTTGGTTAAGAGTACTTCATTGTGAATAAAAAAAAAAACATAGGTTTTATCCTGAAAATTCTACGGGAACTCAACCATTCCGAAAACCCCAAAAGAACGGGAACTATGTGGGAAGAACCCAAAATCTGCCGGAAGTCACTATTCCAGGCGGACGAAGTCGTTAATGATAAATTCACAGAACAATTTAAGTCACATGAAATCGGGTCTGGGTACTAATATTATAGTCATTATGCAGGAGGGGCGTTAAAGGCGATGGTGGGGGTTTTATCGGCGCTGGTGGCAGCTGATGTTGCGGGCTGTGGTCGCCGCGAGCTCTTGGCGCTATTGGTGGCTCCCGTACATGACAACCCCGACCATGCTGCCACGCCGCATCATATCAAACAAGTAATACACGAACCATTTTATGTTATCTGTAATGTCTTTTAAAGTACTACTGTATAATCGACTTTATATTTATAAGCATCGTGAACTATGAGTCCCACAAAAGGAATACAGTAATGTTAATTTCATATCAGATTTATTCAAGTTCAAAGAAGTCTTTGCAATCAGGTTTGTTATCTTTGTCATAAGAGATTAATAATCAAGTTTATTCCAGGCTTATCACTCGCTTGCTAAGTGTGTGGCGGCTGTCGTTGTGTCCGGTGGGTCAGACGCTCTGGATATAACGCGAGGCTTCCTGAAGGACGCGGCGCAACCTCGCTCTGATACACATCACATGTTCGCACTACTAGCACTGGCGGAGATAGGGCGACATCTGTTAGTGTTCACATACATTAATACATATATGCTTGTTTAGCCATGTAATGTAATGGAATCTCAAACCTATAATTGGACCATAAATTCAGTTCATAAATCCGACGTACATCGTTAATATTTCTTTGATATAGTAAAATAATTTTATATACATATATCGTTAATCAAAACCTAATAAGAACTTATGTATAGGTAGGTAAAGATAGCTTCGTCTAAATTAATTAATATTTATTTAAACTAAATAACTACTTTACGTACTTTTAGTCATAATTTTGTCAAAATAATATAACTTTAATCCATTTTATTTCTATTCACAGTGATCTAAGTTCTATTCCGAATCTGAAAGAGGTGCTACTGAGTTCTTTCACTCCGTCCTCTGAAGAGGTCAAGTCTGCTGCGAGCTACGCGCTAGGATCAGTGGCCGTGGGAAACTTACCTGAGTTCTTACCGTTCATACTCAACGAGATCGAAGCACAGCCCAAAAGACAGTATCTGCTTCTGCATTCACTCAAAGAGGTACATCTGTTCGATAATGAAAACGTTTAAATTTGTCTTTACTATAAATGAAACTAATATTATCGGATTACTATGCGTATTTTATTATTTTTAATAACTACATAATCTGGAAGTTTCGTTCGTTCACGCAACGTTTGATTGTTGCAAAAGTAACCAGTTTCATTTAACTGAATACTCGCGAAAGTATTATATTTTACTACATATCTTCCTTAATAATTATTTATTTTTTTATACAGATTATAGCTTGCGAATCCTGCACACCAGAAAGCGTGGAGGCGTTGAGGCCTTTTATACCAGAGATTTGGGTACAGTTGTCTAAGCACTGTCAATGCGCCGAGGAGGGATCACGCAATGTTGTGAGTACATATTAATATACATATGTGTTGTACTTAATAAGTGTTGTTTTTTGTATAAATTTTTAAAGACTATGATTTTTGAAAAGTGTTATATTTTAAATCGAATCTGTAATTGAAAATATATCTTGAATAAATTAACGATCAATCGAAACAGTAACCTCTGTCAATATTGTGTTGATGTTAACTTTTATAGTTTTCAATAAAAAAATTTCTGTGTATGAAGGATTTTTAAAAGATGCAATATAAATATATTTTTCTTTTTCCAACAGGTTGCCGAATGTTTGGGAAAACTATGTTTATTAGAACCTCAGCAGCTTCTGCCGCATTTGAAAGAGTTTTTGAAGTCTTCTGAACCTCTCACAAGAACTACCGCCGTTACCGCAGTCAAGTTCACTATTTCCGATCAGGTGCGGTCATGTCATAACTATTTGAAACAGAAATAATATTTTTCATGCACACGGGATTCTTTGAATAAATTGTTTTATTCTCTGAAATAAGTTAGTTCAAGCCCTCAAAATCATTTTATACTGATATAACAAACTTTTCATAGTTCTATTCGAGTTTAAATGTAAAAAGGTACTATAGAATACAACACTGTCATACATTTAATTCTATTGTAATTTTAACAACTTTTGGTGAGTTTTCTGATCGAATTAACGTTTGTCACTTATGCTATTATAAAATAAATCTTAACGCTGATTATTATTGACGTAGTATATAGTAATAATGTAATATATTTCCAGCCTCAAGCCATCGATAGTATGCTTCGCTCGTGTATGTCTGAGTTGCTGGTGCCTCTCCGCGACTGTGAGCTAGGCGTGCGGCGAGTGGCGCTGGTCGCCTTTAACTCGGCAGCTCATAATAAACCCTCGCTGGTACGAGACCTGCTGCCACAAGTCCTGCCTACTATATACGCTGAGACTAAAGTCAAGGTAAAATAGGATAACATTTATGATCGATACGTTTTATATGAAAATTATATCTGTTGATTTCATCCTTAGATGTAGATCAAGATATATTGAGTTATAACTAACGATACAATTGCTATAACCATGTTAGAGTATCTGTATCGTTTTCTGAAGGACGATGGTAATTAATATTTACTATGATATGCCTTGTATGTTATATACGATTGTCGGTTTCGATAAGGCAGGCTAGTCGGGCAGGTTCATATAATATTAATTTTCGATGAAACAAGATCGGTTTATGAATATATTCAGAAACAAAGATGACGTGAGAAAATTTTGGTTAACTTCTTTGAGAGCTCTATAATTATTTTATATGATTTTCACAGAAAGAACTGATAAGAGAAGTAGAGATGGGTCCATTCAAGCACTCGGTGGACGACGGTCTGGACCTGCGCAAGGCGGCCTTCGAGTGTATGTACACGCTGCTGGGCACGTGCCTGGACCGTATCGACGTGTTCGAGTTCCTGAGACACGTGGAGGACGGTCTGAGAGACCATTACGACATCAAGATGTTGACGTACCTCATGTGCGCCAGGCTCGCTCACCTGTGTCCGGCTGTGGTTCTTCAGAGTGAGTTGTATTTCATATGATATTATTTATTTATTTATTTATCTATTTAATTACAAAAGAGTGCGTGTAATTTTAACATGGTTTAAGATTTAAAGGTGTTAACATAAACTCATTCAAGTTTTTGAGAACACCAGTGCCGTCAATTTTACATTTCACAATTATATACTAAATAATTTTGTAACTATTGTTGGAGTTAAAGTTTGAGATTTGTTTTTCAATGTTCAGCGCTACTTCACGTATTTATAGTTTTTAAATACACGTTGATATTTAAATGTTGCCATTAAAAAATTGCAATGGTTTCAGTATTATTATTAATATAATCACTCATAAAAATAATTGTAGGGATATAGTGTATTATAATTAGTATGGCACGGATGGCGAAACTTGTAACAATTTTAGTTTTTTCTAATGTTTAAAGAACTTTAAAATTTAAGTCTTTCATGGTGGTCAATAAAGTACATATATCAATTTGTATATTAAAAAAATTGTTGTTATAATTAAGATTGTTGAAATATTTATGGTAAATTTTGCGAAGAATTTAAATCAATTAGAATAATGAAAAACATGATTTTAATCATCGAAATGAAAATAAAATGATATTTTTTCCAGGACTGGAGAGTTTGGTGGAGCCTCTTCGTGCTACATGTACTATGAAGGTGAAGGCTAACTCTGTGAAGCAAGAGTATGAGAAGCAGGACGAGCTCAAGAGATCAGCTCTCAGAGCAGCCGCCGCCTTACTACAGATACCTGACGCGGGTGAGCATATGTATAAGTATAGTAAATTAATCCAGACTACTCTATATTCCAGTTCTCGATCTCTGTATTCTCTCGTTATATATTTATTTATAAGAGTTTATAAAGTAATATTTTGTAATTTATGTAATTTGATTTTTTAAATTTAAGTGTTACATCAAGAGTCATGTTCAGTAATTTTTAACAATGAATTGGGCGTTTGCTCATAACTTCCCTATTGTATGGATTGAATGATGTGAATAGCTTCAGGATTTCTATTTTGTCCTTTTTTTTTATTAATTAATATATTTTTAATATATTTTCAGACAAAAACCCTCACTTAATGGACTTCGTAACTCAGATCAAGTCATTCCCAGACTTACAGCCCATATTCGAGTCGATCCTGAAAGATTCTTCAGGCGGCGTGGACTCCAATCTCATGGATCAGAGCTAGCCTCCGAACGCCGAATACGCTTCTCATATGATCACCAGAATTCATATACTTTAATTTTGTACTCAGCAATGTAAAAATTATACCCGATATAGAATGAGACATTGGATTTTATTCAACAGTTATAATTACTAAAATAACAAATATTACAAACATGTTTAGCAAACAGCTAAAAGGGATGGGAAGATCCAGTGTCATTAGTGGGGAAATGGCATTTATGGCATCCGGAAGGATTTTCTTGTTTAATAGATACGTTTTCTTTTGGTAGTTCTGTCTGATATGTATTGTGATATTACATGCTATGTGGAATATTCATAGGAGGTTGGATAAATACAATAAAAAAAGCGAAACACTATTATTCTTGAATCATTTTCCTTTCCTTTTTGTACCCGGAGTAGCGCTGGATGCTCTTGTACTGAGTGATGTCTGCAAAAAAAAATTAAATATAATAATAATATTATAATGATCACAATAGGCAAAATTAGTTAGGCAATCAAAAATAGAATAGTTAAATAAAAGTACTTACCGGTTTTGCCGGCGAAGATTGAGAGAGTGTTGACGAGCTAGCGTTGCGCAAAATGGGTTTAGTGACGGTGGCGCCACCAGTCGTGCTGCCCGTGGCGCTACTAGGTCTCTCAGGACTTTGGTCTTTGCTGTTAAAAGATATGAAAAATACAAAAATAAATCCTCACAATAATATAGACTGTGGTTTGGAGTATTAGTAGTAGAATATTTTTATTTTGTACCTGTTTCCTCTGCTCAACTGTCCTTTCCTACTGAACATGCCGGACAAACGGCCGCGAAGATCTCGCTTACTGCCGGTTGTACTCATATCGGAGTCTGAACCCTGTAAATTTGTTTGCCAAATAGTTTTTTGCATTATTGGTTTGAGGTATTGATTATAATTTTGAAAAGTTATAAAAAGAAATATCTATGTTTACTTTGGTTCGAGTTTTTTTTTACTGTTACTGCTATCACTGTTGTCAAGGAATGTGTTGTGTTAAGACAACAGTTGTCTGTTACGCTTTCACGCCTAAACCACTGAACTGATTTTAATGAAATTTGGTACAGACATAGAATTGACCTTGTGAAAGAACATAGGATAGTTTTTATCCCAGACTTTTGAAAGGTTCTCTTGATATAATCGAACTCCACGCGGGCGAAGCTGCGGGCGGAAAGCTAGTATACATATAAAATATATAGACTTATTCCTTTATTAATTTCAGTCGTTCTTTCTTGTCTCTTAAACAGCAAAAATATCTTTACCTGCGAAACAGTCCCTATGGGCCTGAAGTCCCCTACATCAGAATTTACGTGGTCGTCTATTGATCGTGACTTTGTCATCTTTTTCAGTTTGTCAAATAATCCTTTCTTTTTCTTCTTCTCCGTGGGAAGGACATCACTTTGAGTAGATCCACCCGATAATCGACTGAAAAATTTGTGGTATTGTTTGATTAGGCAACAATTAAGTTATTTTGTTCGGTTCATAGTTTGAATAGTTTTTGAACATAATTCGACAGCTATTTTGAGCGCCTTTTACTTTACCTACTACACGTCTGAGTATAATGCAATATGTTATAGAAGAACGAATAAATAATTGAGGCGATGAAGTAAAAGTTTCATTTTTAACTAAATATTATATATATTTTAAAATGTATGTAGATAAATAATATTAGAAAGAATTAATTAAAAATTTTCATGGCGTTAGCGCAACGTTAAAACTGATAATCGTGTAGCACATTCTTGCTTAAGATCGATGAAATCTAAGAGTTTCTTTTCATTGTCATAAAAATACAAATCTATTTATACAGTTACAGTTATATGTTACAGTACATTTGTTTTATTGTCATGGCTTACCGTTTCTAAAACAGATTAAATTTTCGAAGCTGTGAACTAATTTTAAGTATTTTAATTAATGATCATATATAAAATTCTAGTGACAGAACTTACCTATCTAGACTATTGTCCCGTTGCATTGTGAATAATCGTACGTCCGCATCGCCATCCAACGACTGCATTGAAGAAACACTGCTGTCTTCTACTGTCTTCCAAATAGAACCCTGAAGGATCAAAATTACATTTTAATAATTTAGCAAATATTTATCTGCATAATTTGTAAAAGGGTATATTTTTAGAACAATATTGATTCTACCTGTTCTTTGGTGGTTTGCTCCAAAGAAATAGATCGTTTCTTGAGGGAAGGTGCACGTGATGGAGTACGAGATGATGTCACTGACAGCGTATCACGGGGTTCAGTCGACATAGCGCTAATGCAAAGGAAAGTTCAAAGTTAAAAATATTGCAGTTTTTCATATTTAATTGGTGAGATAGCAATAAAAACTTTTCGTTATATATTTTTCAGGGATTTGGTTTTTTAAATTTTGCCTTATGAATACTTTTCTTAGGAGATAAATACTTAATACGTATGTCCAGGGAAAATTTCAAATATATTTTATACCAGTAGACATGGATAATAGATTTTAATATGTATGATTTAAATAATGTTTGAAAGTAGTTTTCTTTAAAACAAAATTTCTTAAATCACTTACCGCCTGGCACTAGTAGTTTGCTGTCTTCGTTGCCTCTCAGCTATCCGTGAGGCGCGGAGTTCGTCAGTGAGTCTCTTCAGTCTCGCGGCGGTGGCCTGTGCGTCGCTCGCCGACTGCGCCTCGCTAGTCTCCGGAGTAGCAGAACGGGATCGAGACTTAGATGACTGGAAAGTAAAATATTGGTTAAATATATAGAATGTCCTTTTATTCTCAATATATAATATTACTTATTAGATATCTTTAAAATTTATGGCAACTTTAAATTTACACGATCTGTATAAAGAGACACCTGCATGAACTTTTACGATTTAAATATTATTTTCGTTGATTATTAACGGTAGAAAAACTTACCCTATTACGTCTCGGAGGAGTTGGTGTCATAAGACTCTTTTCAGGCTTTATAGCTTCTGTTCGGAACATATTAGGATTCTGCTTCATTAAATCGTCTATCGTCTCGACTAGTTGCGTAATCACTTTGTCGTCCTCCTATAATATTATTGAAATAATAATAAATAAGACAATTCTAACCAACTCTTATGTTTAATAAATGAAAACTATTAGTCTCCACAAGTATTGATTTTAGTACCTGTTGTGATCGTTTGAGAGATGCAACCAAAAGTTTATTTTGATCGCGGTCACGATCGTGTCTCTCTTTGTCACGCCGCAACTTTTCATTGGCGGTTCTCAGTTTTGCGTGAGCGTCCCGTAGTTCCAATAAATCGCATTGCAGTTCAGTCACCTTAAGAAAATTACTCTTGTTAATAAAAAAAAAAATACTCTTGTTTCTCAATGCTTTAAAAAATTACCTTCTTCTTCGCTTCCTCAGTTTCCTCTTCCGTTGTTCTCTTTAGTTGATCTATCCTTCTCTTCATATCCAGTCTTTCCTTTTCTCTTTCCCGCTCCACCTACAAAATAGTCACATTTTATCAAACATTATACATACATATATTAATACTAGAAGAGCCGGCGAACTTCGTATCGCCCTATAATCAAGAAATATCTGTTACATTTTTTTATTTATATTTTATGGAGTTTACCCATTAAAGCCATAAATCTCCGTATTTTGAAGTGCGACAGAATGATTGATATATTAGTTAGTTGTCAAAATTAATGTAAAAAAAAAAACGTTTGTATGAACAACTACTAATAAATTAAAAATTAATAAAAAAAACATTGTCCAGCGGACAAAATTGTGAATCTAAACAATTTCCAGATCCCCTTGAACACACACAAAAACTTTCATCAAAATCGGTCCAGTCGTTTGAGTGAAGTTCAGTGACATACACACTCACAGAAGAATTATAAATATAAAGATATAAAGATACAGGTTATAAATGACCTATCACATTATTTTACCTCAAACAGAGTTTGTCTTAGATCTCGTGCGAGGGTAGAGGTCTCATGCAGCAGTCTGTTTTGTTCGTCACGTTCCTTGTGCCACGCAAGTTCCATCCTCGTTGCCAGTCCCGCCAGCCGGCCTCGTCCCGATGACAACAACCTGTCTTCTTCGTACTGAGAAAGGTTAAATTATAACTTTATTCTTGATACCTTCTAAATTAACATTGTTATTATAATAAAGGCCGCTATACATCAATGATACCTCATTTAGCCGAGATTGCATTTCTGCAAGGCGAACCTCAGCCGTTGATTTCTCACTGACAAGTTCTGTGTTAAGTTTCGAAGCCAGGAGCCTCGCTTCACAAAGTTCGTCTTCCGCACATGCTAGTTGCTGTTCTAAGATTGCTACTTTGTTACGATATTCTTCCTAAAATGTATAATTTTATGGTATTTTTGGTTTACATATTACTTTTGTATGTAAGTAAAATATTATTGGTACATATAATATTTTAATACCTCATCAGTACTAGATATAGAATTACGTTGAGCTCTTTTTTCACCACTTTTGTCTCCAGCTATCGTTTTCTGAGCTGCTTCTAGCATCTGTTTATAATTATCGCGTTCTCTTCTAAACCTCGATACCTAATAAAAAATATAATTTAAGAGTGTACTGTTAGGATATAAAAAGTTTAATTGATTACGGTACCTGATTATGTAATGATTTCATTTCATCTCGTAAAGAGTTCATTTGTGAGTCATATCGTGTTTTAGTTTCAGCAACTTCATTCTTTCGAGCCTTATCTGCTTGTTCTAAACGATTATTAAGTGCCGCAACTTCACGTTCTAATTCTGCATTATCAGCAGTTAATGTCCTTTGAACTTTGCTAATTTTCTCATAGTCTTCTAACTTTCGACGAGCTTCTTCTAACTAAAATTTTAATATATTTTTATTTAAATTCTGACCCAAAATTATTTGCAGACGCTTTTTGTAACTCTCTGGTTTGGCGTAACAAATTAGTATTAAGAATTTCAATTTACTGATTTAAACTCATTTACTATCAAAGTTACGTTACTTTGCTTATAAACCCTTGAACTGAATTAACCAATATTGAACTTACGTTAAAAAAAACATTATCAAAGCCCAAAACGATAGACTGCTATTAATGGTTTAAACTTTAAAGTAATGATCAAATATTATAGCACAGATACAGGACTTTAGTAGTATAATGACCTTGAATGTAAGTTAGGGAAAAAATTATAAAACTTGGGAAAAAGGATAAAAAATAAGTTAAGTGATTTCAACCTCTTTCTTAGCAAGATCGTGATGATGAGAAAGTACGTCATTGGAGTCTTTAACACCCCTTAGTTCACGTTCCAGTTGTTCGAGGCGCGCCGACAGCCGTGCACGTTCAACTTCCCATCCTCCACCGCAAAGACGGTCTTGAAGAGATGATATTTCTTTCTGTAAATATATAAAATTTTCCATAAACCGGCTTCAGATAAGTTTTATTTCTAACTCCAACTGACAAGAACTTACCTGTAATTCAGCCTTTTCTTTATTCCAAGCTTCCGACTCACTTTCGTAATTTTCTTGGATAGATTTATATTCTGCTAGTTTTGTATTAAGTTCCTTTTGTACCAACAGAAGGTCACTAAAACAAGAATGAAATAATAAAATCTTAATAGTGAAAATACCCAAAAATATTAAATTATTTCTTTTTAACAATATGTTAAGGAAGAACCGTATAGAATTTACCTTTGGGCTTTTTCCTTTTCAACTGTTAGACGAGCTTTGGTTACAACGTGTTCCTCTTCTAGTAACTCATACTTGCCAGTTAATTCTTCATATTCCGCCTTCTCCACTGCCAATGAATGTTCCAATTCTGTAATTAGTTATTCATTGTTAATATATTAAACTATTTAAATTAACATTTCTTTTAAAATTTTAATACATTTATAAACAATATACTTACTTTTTACTTTTTCTTCGTGTTCTTGTTTGATTTCTGATAATCTTTTCGTGCCCGCGCCTGATGTTTGCTCTAAGACTTTTAGTTTGCCTCTTAGGGTTGCCAACTCTGCTTCTTTGTTTTTGATATCCTTATCGTGATTGGCACGCATTCGGTCAATTTTTTTTCTTTCTGCCTGTAATACGTTACTAATTAAACTAGGTCCACTTATCATATTATGAAAATCCAAGAATAGATAATAATAAGTCCTACTTGAATGTCTGAATCTAGTTCAGAGGCTTTCTTTTCCCAATAGTTGGATTCTTTCTTTTCCGTTTGTAATTTATTTTCAAGATCTTTCTTTTCATTTTCATATTTTGAAATATCAGACTTAAGCTGCGTTAATTCCGACTGTAGCTTAGAGTAATCTTTTTCTGTACTGCTAAGATCTTTCTTGGCAGAAGCTAACTCCTTTTCTTTGTCTTTCAGTTCTCTGGAAGCTCTCTCATATTTTTCTTTGACTTGTGCTATTTCAACTGATGTTAAAGCCTCGTCATATTTCTGATTGGACGTCTCACGTAGAGCATCCTCCTGAAAATTTTAATACAAATTTTCAAATTAATGCAATATTTTGCTTTTAAAAGACACAAAGCTAACAAACTTTGTAAATCTATTTCATAAGAAGGTGAGGTGTCATGCATGTCGTGGATATAAAACAGTATTTGACGGTAAAAAAAATCCAAAAAGGCTGATATTATATGTTTCATGCTGTGGAAAGAACGGGGTTTCACTCAATCACTATATTTCGGTACCAGTTGCTTTATATGATTATCTTTTGCCGCTATAGTGGATTCCAAGCTGGTGATTTTATTTTCATAGTCAGATTTAATTTCCTTTAAATCTGTTTCTAAACAAATAACTTTACTTTCAGCATTAAAAAGCTTAGTTTTCATTCCATCATATTCGGTAGTAAAATCGACAGACATGCGTCTGTTTGAATTTGTGAGAACCTCTTTTTCTTCCTTTTCTTGCGATAACTAATTTCAAGAAATAAGATTATAACATAAATCTTACGTACACCATAGCTCACTCAAAGCATGTATCTTATGTAAACAGTTTAATTTCAATACATTGAAACTAATTCAATAATACAGAGATCAATTTTTTTATGTTTCACTTATCACTATATGAAATAATTTATTACCTCTTTTTCTAATTTCGCAACACGATCTTTGCGGGTAGCTAGTAACTTTTCTGTTCGCTTGCATTTTTCTTCTAACTCTTTAAGTTTTTTCTCAAGTTCGGTTAGCTTCTTAGTCTTGTCTCCGACCTTAAATTAAATATTTATTTATAAAATAGTATTTTTATGATATTTACTTATATTTTTATACATTTATTTAATTCAATACTTACTTCCTTGAGTAATTTACTTTTATCTTGTTCTAATTTGTTAATTGAATCTACTTGTTTCTTGAGCTTATCAATTTCCTTATCTTTATTGTCGATTTCTGTTTTCAATTCCTCAATTTTCTTCATACAGTCTGACATAGCAGCTTGTTGTGAACTATTTTTTTCTATTCAAACAAAAATATGAATATAATAAGTAGGTAATAAATAAAAATTATCAAACAATTATTTTCATAATATACTAACTTAAATCTGAGTTTAACTTAGCTAATTGTTCCTCCAAATTCTTTTTTTCTTCTTTTAATGACTTAGATTCTGCAGCAGCGTTATTTTTTTCTTCTTCTAAAACCTTACATTTACTGGAAAAGGATTTCTTTTCAGACTCTAATTTTGTATTTAAATCTTTAAGTTTGGAAATTTCATTCTGTAAACGATTCTTTTCATTTGTTAATTCCGTCTCAGTTTTAGATAATTTTGCCTTAATGCTTTCTATGTCCTTTTCTTGGCCTGTCTTTGTATTAATATCCTGCTGGGAAAGGCCTGCATTCTTCATGATTACATACAATTCACCTGGAATAAAAATAACCATTGTATTTTATTAGGCTTGAATATCCTCAAAATAAAGAGAATATTTGTCAATTACCTATTTCACTTTCAAGATCTTCAACCATACGCTTCATTTGTAATTTTGTTGTTATATCAGTAATCTTTTTTGGTGTTCTAGGTTTAAATGTTTTCATGGCGTCTTCTTTCAACTCTTTTAATGTAGTTTGCAATTTTAATTTTTCTTTTTCAAGCTGTAATAATAATAGCTTTTGTAAAATACGGCCAGAAAATTTTCTTATAAGTATTGTTGAATAATATTGTTACCTTATTAAAACTAAGTTTAAGTTTATCTAATTCTTCCACTTTAGGTTTCAGAGATTCAGCTTCTTTTTTTAGTACTTCTCCGAACCTCACCTTTTTCTCAGCCTTTTCTTCTTTATCTTTATTACCTTCTAACTCTTTAATTTTTGCTAAAGCATCTTTTAATTCTTTGTCTAATTGAGCTACTTTGCTTGCATTTTGTTCAACTGATTTGTCAGTCTTTAAGTTTCTTGCACTTTTGAGTAACTGTAATATTAAAAAAGAAAATTTGTTTAATTGCTGCATAGTAATTAAAATATTACATAATAAATAAAAAGATAATTAATAAATAGAAATTTTGAATGCAGTCACCTGTAATTTTTTATTTTCAGCTTGTAACTTTTCATTATCCGCCTCTAAGCTTTGCGTTTTTGCTCTTAAAACGTTAGCTTCTTGTTCTATGACTTGAAGTTGTCTCTTCAGATCAACATTTTGTTGTTCACTTCCTCCATCTAGTGACCTATAAAAGATTTATGCAATTATCTGGTAGTTAAAAAATTAATTTAATAATCATGTCATCCAATAAAACTCACTTGCTTTTAATAAGTGAGGCTTTTGGTTTTTTCTGAGTGAGGCTTAATTCAGCATGCAGCCTTTCACAATCCCTTTCTTTTTCTATGAGTTTCTTTCTTAATTCAGCTATTTCATCTTCTAAAACCTTAAAGATCAAATTTAAATCTATTATTGTTTTTAATTATAATAATTTTCTTGTAGAACAGTCAATCTAATAACTGTTAAAGAATAGTCTTAGAGTAAAAATAAGCTTTTATTTAAGAAACTACTTACTTTAACTTTTTCTTCTGCTAAATTACTAGCCTTGTTCGGAGTTTTCCGCAACGTAACTACCGTATTAGTGTTGGATTTAACAGTGCTAGAAATTTTGTCACTCAGTTCCTTAACTTGTTTCCTCAAAGATTCTCTGTCTTGCTCTAACTCTTCAACCTTTTTCCGTAAAACTGCTGCTTCCTATTGAAAGAGTATGTATTAAACAAATCAAAAATTTACGTTCGTAACAAAGTGATTAAAATTGTGTGGGTTTTTACTTGTTCATTGAGTTCTAATAAAATCCTCAATTCTGCTGGATCCTCTTCATCCGATATGCCTTCGTCTTTTTCATTGGGAGCTTCGATGGCAAGTCTATTAGTTGGAGGTGTTGGTGATAACTTTCTACCTACAAAATAATAAAAATAATTTTCCAAACAATTCACTGCTTGAGCAAAATTAACATGTTCATTAAAGCACAATGCAATGACAATAATGTTAATTTAATTCTCTTATATATATACATTTCCAATTTACCTAAAATATAATTCCAATAATTACATAGATCTTTAGTAACTTAATATTGATTCTTAGTAGTTGTTTTGAAATTATTTTAGATAAATTGTATTAAAAACAGAAGTAGCAAAAGTTAAATTTATTAAAACAAGATTTTTAGTTATAATACAAAAGTAATTTTATGTATATACAAAATATTTTAAGGTCATATATTCATTTCCTTAAGTTGAACCGGAGAAAATGGCTACCTCAGACAGATACGCCGATTCAAGTTCAATTTCAAAATAAAAAAATACTTAAAAAAAATTCCTAATAAATCTAAGCGTGTTAGTAACAACGTCGAAATGTCGTAGGTTCAAAATAATGGCGGTTTTCGCCTATAGGCAAGTTATGATAAAGAAAAATGGAATGATTTCATGTTACAGGGGTGATGCAGGTTGGTATACTGTTTTGGATGGGGTCTTACACAAACTGAGAATTGGCAATAACAAATTGACGTACTTCTGGCTTTGGTAGCCATTTTCTTCAGCTGTAGAAGCAAGGACTCATTGTCGTCCTCGACTCTTGATGCTGTTTTACGCAAGTTATTTGCCTGAAAATATTCGTTAGTATATTATTAACTATAGGTAAACACATATCGTTCCCTAATTTAAGGTTTTTATTAATATGGTGGTGCAAACAATTATTTCAAACACATGTTACAATTTACAATCAAGTTGCAATTATACCTACAATAGGTAACCTTGCTGCCAGAGGATTGAATAAAGCGAATGGGAATTGAATCTGATTAGATGAAGAAGCTCCTTTATCTGAGGAAAGTGGGGGGCTGTCGGATTTTTGTACCCTTCCCTCAATATTTGTATCTCGATTTATGGGAGCATTATCATCGTCACTTAAAGACGTAGAAGCATTAATATCAGTTAATGTACTTTTATCATCAAATGTTTTTATTACTGTATTACCAATCTGTATAGATTTGTCAAAAATATATTGAGGACTTTGACAGCAAGCATTTTTATTTTTTCTCTTATCTATTTGTGTGAAACAATGCTTCTTGAAAGATTCAGTTTGAACATTTTTGTTCTTAACAAAAGCTTTTTCTGTTTGGCTGTACGTATGTAATAAATCTATATCTATTTGGACGTTAGAATCAAATGTTATTTTTTTTGTATCATTAGCTACATCATGGAACAATATTGTGTCAGTCTGACATCCTTCAGAATAAGAATCAATGTAATCTTGGGGAGTTTGATGGGATTCACTAATGCCGATAGACAATTTGTTAATATCCAATGAGGATAACTTTTTTTCAAGAACGTGGTGCATTTTTAGAATTTGTATCATTGATTTGTTATTATTATCATTGACAGCAAGGTTAGGCGGAAGATGAAGCAGTGATGGCGTTGAATGCGGTGGTGCAAGATTCTGATTATCACCGAAGCTTCCACGGTATCGAATAGCCTGTTTAAAAATATTTAAGTCTTATCTTTAGATATTTTGTTGACATTGTGGTAAACAAAGAAAAGTATACGCGTGGAATAAATAATAAGTTACATTTTATTTATGGGAGAAATATTTGTGTGGAAGTTGAGTCAGACATGAGTTGGCAGGACGCCACATGGACGAGTTTTACATTTAATGATCTATCAAATACAATTGATATCAGTAAAACTAACAGAGTCTTAAAATAAGTATCGCAGAAACGTTGTTGAGAACTATTAACCATTGATTTATTCGTCAGATCATCAGATCATAAATTAATTGGAAGAGTTCAAATCAGCATCACAAGCCAGTTTTTGAAATAGCAAATTAATATTAGTAAATAGATAATTAATAATTGTGATGGTACATTGATTGTATATTGATTAATTTAATTTTTTTTATTAATCGAAGTTTCTTGCATTCTGTTTTTTCTATGTTAAATTTAAAATGTAGATGTATTAATTTCTATAAATAATCATACAAAATAAATACCTCTTCTTCAGCGTTGCGTAGTTGTTCTCTTAAATCAGCTTCGCGTTCCAAAGAGTCTTGAAGATCCCGAAGTAATTGCGCTGCATCTTCCTGGCTTCCACCTCGTGTTAGAGACGATCGGGATATCTTCTATTAAAATAAACATAACATTGTAAATTTAAAAGATTTTTAAAACTGTCTATAGCTTCAAGTAGTATGATAGTTTTACTCCGTCAGTTGTTTGCTTCTTAACGTTAGCAGGTGGAGCACCAGAAATAGAAGCTGGTTTAGACTTCGCCTCTGCCAATTCACGTTGCAGCCGCAGAGCAACTTCAGTAGACCGCGCTACTTCTTGTTCCAATTCTTTGATTCGATTCTCTCTCTGTAGACCGTCAGCACCTCCTACAATCTATTCAAAATTGTTGTCAAAATAAAAAATCATTAGTAGCAGGCTAGTGTAAGAGTTTTCAAGTGATAAAATGGTTATATTAGTTCAAAACAAAAAAAAAATCTTTAGGGCTTATGAAATAAGTTTTAATTAATAATTTAAAAATATACTTAATCCTATTGTATGACTACTTTATTGACAAAAATTATCTTATACATATTTTAATAACGATATTATAACAGCAAAAGATTGTGTTCTAGTTGAATCAATTAATGGTATTTTAATATGTTAAAATATAGTCTGTTTTGCTAAAAATTAAGGTAAAATTATGTGCATCGTCTACAAAAACAGCGTTTTGATTTAACTACTTTAAATACATAGAATTTAAAGAATGCTTAATTTACCTACTCGAGTACGGGCTCCTTGCTATGGCAAAATCGGAATTCTAATTATGTTACAGTAGTTTGCAAGACATATAATTTAATCAATGATTTGTTCATACTAATTGTTTGGAATTTCATCCAAATATAGAGATTTTGTTTCAATGAACATAGAAAACTTTTCAAAAATTCATGTCAACCTCATAAATAGGTTTGACTTTTGTCAGAAGTTTTGGAACCCAAAAAATTTTGTCTAGTAGTAGCGCTCTTTAAGTTCTTAGAAACCAATATAAATCAAGAACTTTAACTTAGGACTCTGTTTATTATTAAGATTTTAACCCGAAAACCAATTTACCTCTAAAAGCTTTTTCTCCTGGTCCGCTTTTTCTTGTTCAAGTTGCTCGGCTCTTCGTTCTGTTTTTTTCAATTTAAATGATAAAACTCTACAGTTTTTGATTGTTTGTTCTAATTCTCTTCTTAAAGAAGAATATTCATCTGCTTGGTCCTCTCTAAATAAAATAAAATAAAATATTATGGTAGTTTTGGCTAACAAATCTTCTTGCGAATAAACTCACAAATTCTATTTTCTTCATATATTTACCTGAAGTTGTCCTGCATTTCTTCTATTTCTTCCTCAAGATCTCGTAATTCTTTTTTCATGTCTTCATTTTCATCCATCAATTCCTCACAGAGAGTTTCTGCAGCCAATAACTTTGCTCTGAGTTGTTCAATTTGTTTTGTTTGTGCCTCAATTGATGGACGAGACTGCAATTTGAAAGTTTACTAAATAAATATAATACATTCATATATTTAAAAAAATATTAATAATTTTACTTACTTCTAATTCTACCTCCATCTCTTTAATCCGTAGAGATAAATGTTTCTTTTCATCCTTTAGGTCTTCGTTTTGTGTTGTAAGTTCATTAACCTTCTTTTGTAACTTTAGATTTTCTGAAGATCGTCCAGTTGAATATTTGTTAGTGTTGTCTATGTTAGCTAGTCTCCTTAGTAGAATGTCACTTTTTTCTTTCTCAACACGTTCACAACGCTTTTTCAGAAAATCGACTTCCGACTTTAAACTTTCAATTTGTTCCTGTTAATGAGATACAGTAAAAATACAATAAAATTATAACATTTTGGCTTAATCTATGGTCTACTATACTGCTTTAAAATTGAACATGAAATAGAAGCCTTGCAAGAATAAATATGTATTTTATTACATATAGGTACATATATTTCTTTAATTTGTTACCTGATACTCTTTTATGTTCGGATCGACAAGTGTTACATCTGTGTCTGTTGTAATAGTGCTCCCCTCATCCTCCGATTCTTCCTTATCTCGAGATATCGGTCCTCCCCTAATAGGAGGCTTTGATATGGATTGATTACGAGTTTTTCCCTGTAGCAAAAAAAATTTGCTTGACTTGTTGCAAAAATGTACTTGATTTGAATTTTACAATACAAATATCTTACCAGTGATATACCAACGTCTTCCTTACTGTAACTCTTTTCTTCTTTGGGCTTGACGGTCTTTTCTTCTTCCTTACTTCGAGAAGCACTTCTCCTTTCTCTTTCCTTCTCAACGCTAGACTCTTTGTCAAAACTGCTCTGAGCTTTCATTAATTGCATCTGAAAAATAAATAATAGTAAAAATAATAAAACTTTAAAGTTGTTATGTATGAAAGAACATGTGGTCAGGTTTTTTTGTTCTTATTTTATTTAACTGTTTTTTTTAACTATAAAATGTTTTTAATAATCACACTAACGTTGTATCTTTTCCATATTTTTTCTGTTATTCATTTATTTTTGTAGCGACCTTTAGTTATTTCGGGCATCGTAACGCAACTCTTTGGGAGTAACACAAACAGTTCTACTGACCCACTTAATTTATTTGGTTTAGATAATTTAAAATTTACGTTTTTTTTTTGCAGCAGTCAGTGAATGTGTTTTCAAAATTGAGGTCTTTATCATTTGATAAGACTTGCATAATATATTGTAACGTAACACATTTCGTAAGCTCCACATACCTATTAAAGAAATTAAAATTGATTTATTTGATTGCATATCACAATCAAATTAAACAATCAACATTATCGCAATATTGTTGATTTTTGATCTGACTGAGTTGCGAGATTTAGGTTTTTTACAAACATTGTTTTTTTCATTTTACAATATTGTATTATTATGCGGTTTCCAAAATTAATTTGTTTTCTTTAAACTGTAGGTTTAGGATAGGATGTTGTTAGATTAGTTAATTACGTAGTTACTTAAGACAGAAGGTCCCCTAAACTGGGACCCAATAAATCAACCGACTTGATATTACATAGATCTCATAACATGTGTAGGTACAATAGAAAAATTATGTTGTGAGACTTTTTTACAAGTTTTCTTTTTGTTGATAGACCTACTTTCTTTCTTTTCCAGTACCTATTACTTCAACGAATTTTCTGAAAGCACACTCTGTGACTTATGATATGGGCTACATATATTTATAGTGTATCTAGAAAACGGGACGGAAATTGAAAAATGTTTTAATTTTTCCCTTATTTATACATTAAACACTTTCTGTTTTCAAAATTTTAAGCCTCTATATATACTAGGCGTGCATTTAATATTAATGATAAATACCTTTCGAACTCGTTCTGCAAGCGAATCGTTTTTATTGATAGTTATCTGAGCTATAGAAGGCTGGCTCTCTGGTTGTCTGACGGGTGGTGGTGGCGAGGGAGATGGTCGACGTACTGTTACCGTTTCTAAAATGATAAAATTTCGTAATCAACACAACATATGCAATTAATATGTTTATTTCTATGTCACATCAACAATTTTACACTACCCACACATACTACAAACATGTGTACCTTCAGCAGTAAAATGTAGAATAATTCAAAGTTATCACACATACAAACTTGTGTATACCTGTATTATTCTGTCCTGTGTCTAGAGATGGTAAAGGACCTGTAGATCTTCGTTTGGGTAATTTAAGACTGAATGTTACAGCCGTTGTATTATCATCTTCATTTGAACCCAAGTCTGGTGTTGACGTCCACGATGTGCTTTTCTTATTGAGCCCTATATTTTTAAATATTATTAACCATTATACAAAGCATGTATGTATATAACAGCATGTACGTATTCTCAATATACCTATGGTTATGTCGTCTTTTTTGGATACTTCAGTAATACTAAGGTTTGTGCTCGAAGCCCAACCACGACTTGTCTTCTCCGTCTCAGCACCATTATTTTCGTCACGACTTCTATAATATTACAATTAAAATATCAATATCTCAAATTATTCACACTTTAAACTAGACGATTTAAAAAGATATTTTACCCTTTTTTTATAATTCGGGTGTTATACGGTTTTTTATGGATGTTTTAGTTAAAAAAACTAGTGGGTAGAATGGACTATATTTCGTTTTGATTAACTGTATAATGTACCTATATATTAGTCAAATGTGGCAAATTTACTCTTAAATTTATTTTATTGTTCAATTTAAAACCCTGAGTGACCCTCTATTACCTTAAACGGAAAGGAATGAAAGTTTTAAATTGAAGTTGACAGGAAGTCCTCGATAACTCTAATAACTACAAAAATGTTAATGTAATTTTATTATTAACCTATTTCATTTTCATGATGTACTGTTTTATGTAAAAGATTTCATTATTATTTTTATTATAAACACGTGGTAACGAAAATAGTAGTCTTTATGCTAATAGCAGAAAAAAAACGTTCACTGAAATACCGATGCGTTTTTTATACAAATGTTTATTTACTGTAAACATGAACATTTTATATTTAAATTAGGTATGGTAATGTTATAAGGTCAGCAGACTGTCAATTTTATGTATTCAATTATTATTTTAGAAACCGAAGAGAGCATTATAATCCAACTATCCATTCATTATCTAAAACAAAGACTTATATCCGAAAAGCTATTAATACGATTGCAGAAACTCTACGCGTAAAACGTCTCCCTACATAGATTTTTCAATATAAAAAGGTTGATATGCAAAGGTTATTCGAAGCTATTTTTTATATGTGATTGTTATAATGTGTAACTACATATGAACTTAATAACACAATATCTAATACCTATTTCAATCTAATACGTAATCTAATCGTAGAAAAACGTATAAAATTATATTATAGGTTTTTTATTGCAGACCTACTAGTATAAAGCTATAAAGTTAATTGTATGTCCATTTCGGCAAAGACGTTGCTATCTTTAAAACACCGACAACAGCTGGTCCGTAATGCGTTTTAGTCCATGGCATATGCACAAATATGTTTAAATTGAACTCATTAATTATATTAAAGAGCATTTAGAATGCGAATTAAGGACGCATTTATGAAAAGCATAAATTGTTAGATTTGCTTCCGGCATGAGTAGTATTTAACGTAAATACCTGTAAACATTGCCTTTATTTCCAAGTAATATGTTTACTTAGTTTATTATAGAATTATTATTTTTAATATATTTTACCTTATATACAATAACGTTTAAAACAGTTTAAAGTTTTTTATGTTCAGTCCGGATCTTCCTTTTATAATATTTTTTAAGAATAAAATTAGGATTATGACTTGCTTCATTTTCATGTCATTTTAATTTCATGACGTGATTCTACATAATTTTTATGAACAAATATTACTCTATAACTTATTATATAATCCTGTGCAGATTTATTATTCATTTTATCGTTCCAAAATGTATCAATGATAATAGACTTGTCACTGAAAGCAAAATGTTATGTAGGTTATACATTACATAATATAATGTTATTATATTAGTTGATATATTAGGGTCATTTTGATAGTTACAAATTAGTTATTACATCACTTTCGCCTACTCTTTAATTTCATTAGATCCGGAGGCGAGTTATTCAATGTATTACTATTCTAATTTTTATATACCTACGGTGGGAAGTAGTCGAAACTTCATACAAATTGTTTCATTTGTATAACTGTTCGATTAGTATAACTGTTCGATTTACGCCTTCACTCTGAATGTAAATCTTTACAACAACTGGCAACTTTGTATCAGATATTTCTTAGAAAATAATTGCGTCATTCGGTCAGTATTTCCAAAGGAATCCAAACAATTGCAAAGAAAATGTTTGGCAACTTGGAATTTTGCCATGATAGTTTTTATAGCAGGTATATAAGACAAACGCGTTCATGTCATTATCTGTCCATCAATAGTAAAACTATGCTACAGAAATACTAAATGGAATTATATTTAGAATAATACTATAACTATTAAGATAAAAAATTGGAATCGCTAGAGTCTTAATGTCTTTTATTCTTATTAGAAAGACATTCAAAACAGAACTCTGCTAAGTTCCAATTTCTGCAGAAATAATAACAGTCATACGGACGTGATGTGATTTAGGTCTCTCGTCAACCTATATTCATTAGAACAGATAAAGCTTATATACAGAACGGAGAACAAAGACAAATAATATTAAACCAAAAAGCTGTAGGTACAAAATTTCTTCTCAAACTCTTTATACAAAACACTACTGTAATCCAATTTTCAGTGGATCTTTTTTCGCCAAAAGACCTGCTTTTCTGTTAGTATTTAAGATAATAATTATTATACCAAAACACCTCTTAAAATGGTCATGAATATTAAAAGTACCTATAAACTATATCTGTATCAAACACGGGACAAACTGATGATGTCGGAAGCATAAAACCTAAATACGTGTTTTTTTTTTTAATTTTGGTACTCTTATCATGTTTTGAATATATGTAAAAAATTAATATTAGGTGTCTTATATATATTGTAGATGAAAGTCTTTAAGCTAAATTATAAGATCAGTTCAAGTAATATTTTATATAAGTCTTAGAATAGGATAGATTATCCCCCAGTTAAATTCTTATTAGAATCCATTCGATCTATCCTGAAATTAACACACAAACAAACTGATTTAATTTTAAAGTTTTATGATTTTAAAAGTACTTATAAATATTATTGTGGTTCTATTAATCTATTTTATTATTCATAGATACAGAAGATTTCACTATAAACAAACTGAAGTAAATTCAACATTTCTTCTTTATAATATAATATTAACAGATGTCTCTATAAAGTAGAGCGCTATAGTTTATGGTAATACAGTATTAAAGCTTCTTAATAACATTTTTATTACCGAACATTATTATATTATGTTCCCCGGCTTTTACCGCCCACGTGTAATTGATAGACAAGGGCCATATCATTAAATAATTTACGAATTACAATAAAAATCCTCTCACAGTAACTTTGGATTCACTATTCATAAATAATTGTTTCTAAATTTAAATCTGTGCCTTTATAAGGTAATGGTCAAGTATTTTTTTTGCGATTTTTAACTTTCCTATCAAACTTATAATTCCAGAGAATACAAAGACTTTTGAAAAAATGTTAACTGCCGATATTTTTTTTTAATTTGGTTCCATTATGTAACAGTTATCATTAATATAGAATATATATTTTGTATCTAACCGCGAATGTGAAAAAATTTCACAATTGAACAATGTTTTTGTATATTAAATCAGGATTTTACTGAGACATTTTGATTCGCACTAATAAATTATTCTGGATTGATTTCTGAATGTCAGACTATTTTTTTAACAAGTTTTTTAGGCTCTAAAAATCTTTTATAAACAGACGTTTGTATCCGAATAAATTAAAAGTTTCGAATATCAATGACGATGAATTAGGGTAGTTTATTTTTGATTCCAACATTGTTCGTTTTCATAATATCTCAATAAATATACTTTTATCTCGTTTTTTTGTTTTAGGATCTAGTCAAACTAACCGTGATGAGGGCGAGTTCCAAGAAGAGAGGCTCGGTGTTGATGCAGCAAAATCATCTTCCTTCTTACGACCACCGTGTTCCTTGTAGTCGCGGAAGCAGCGCTTGCACCGAGTCGGCCATCGCACTTGCGGATGGAAACCCAAGGGACAGAGCGGATCTCCTTTAGCCATTGGATACATATGATGCATCTTTATTGAACCAAATACACTATTATCAAATGCAATTCACAAATGTCAACGTTTCCCACTAAATGCCAATGTTACACGATTCACGTAATCACATATATCGCTCCATCAACAACATCCCGTAGTAAACTTCGTTCAGGAAGGCCGATCACCGTAATTACTTGCATTGATAGTGCCACTCGATAATGTTTATGGAATGAGTTTTACGATTATACGCTATTAATAATAATTCATGTAACAAGCAACGTAACCAAGACGGTCGTAAGTCTGCGCCGCACGCTGTCCATAAAAATATCTTGCTGCTCGTTACGTACCGGGCGACCTAAATCGACAGCTTTGCTACCCGCATGTTATTGCGAAATTCAAAGGAAAGTTACAACGTATTATTGAACTTTATAGCGGTCTATGCTTCGTATCTCAAGTGTTTGATCCTTTTAGTTGGACTGGATCGTTGATGCAGGCTGGCGGCGCAGGCGTCGGGTGAACGGCTCTCGTAGAACTGAAGCTTGCGCGGGCAGGATGCCAACACCACCACCTCGCAGTCAACCACTTATCTTCCACTAGCGGGTTCGGGACGCCTCCGTCCCGCTTTCGATATAAATAAGTCGTATTCGCTAATAAAACACGGCAAGTCGCACTCACCGGCCGGTCCAGGCCGGCCGCGATCCCGTGCAATAATTAGTACCTTGTCCGTCAACGCTTCAATCAAAAATAGATTTGTTGAATTATGTTCTATTAATGTCGCAATTAAAAATATTTCGTATAAAAGAAACCGTATTTTAAGTATTCATGAATGACCGTTTGACGTCAATAGACGTATAATATTTTTATTAAATAGAATAACGTACTAGCTTTGAGCAAATTTGCTTTGCACTACCTTCTTGTAATAATATTTACATTTGAACGTTGCCAAGTAATTGGTAACCAGAACTGCATTTTTGCTTGTCATTTCGTTTAAAATAGAATAAGAGAGAATATTGAAATATAAATGTGATATTGTAAGGATCACAATCAAACGTTTTATTTCGAGTAAAAGGTTATAAATAAAAATTAACAACATATCTGTTTTAATGATGATTAAGGTGACGTAATGGGCACAAAGAAGAATATTAATCCATTTAAAGCTGAGTTTAATAAAAGCCATGTATATTTTGGATATCTTAACATATAAATCTACTTTTGAACAAAGGTTTTAACTCCTAAACTTTTTCTATTACGACTTTCATTATCTTTGATGAGCTCCATTCTCTTCATAATAATCATCTTGCAACACTTAAGCGTATTTAAATGTACTATTTCGTACATCTTAAGACCAGCTACGTTCAGATATTTAAGAAACAATTCACCACAACTTCTAAATACAAAACATTTATATGGAATTATATTAAGAAACTTATAATAAAATAAAAGAAACAAAACATTAACATGAGAGTATTTAAATTTATTATCAATATTCAACATCGATTGCCTCCATTTTGTTAATAATGTTAAAACAAGTGAAGATCAGACTTAGTCAAATAATTCGTAATATTGTGATTAGTTTGTGTCGGTTATATTAGTCTTATAAAAATATGATTTGAGACAGTTAGTACATATATTATTTACATATTTGTTAGATCAACAGAAATCTCCTTCGTTGAGTGGTTCGTCTTCCTTCTTATCGTAGACAAGTGTTTTATATATAACGTCTTCGAAGTGCAACGCGTTCAGACCTTTCGGTTCAGCAACTTTGATCTTAACATCACCCGGATAAAGGATCTCGCCTTTATTTTTAGTGCAACCCATCACAAGCGACTTTTGCAGTTTATCGATGCAAGGAATCTCTGAAATAATATTAAAAGTAAATTATTAATAGAATGTGAGATATTTAGAGATATAATATTCGGATAAAAGTGGATTTAAAAGGCCAAGGTTATGCAAATGTAAGTTTTGGCAAACCGTAATGTAAGTAAAGATTTAATACATTTGCTTTATATTTTAATAATAATAAAATATCTTTTGGTTTAGTGACATTTATGAGGCAGAATCGTTTAAAATTAGTCTCACGTAGTGGCTTTAAGATTAAATTGATGAATGTCGTCCCGTCAGGCATACGGGTGAGGAAGGTAAGTTCATGGAATGGTTGGTTTAATGGTTAAATATATAAATTGTATTTAAATGAAACTAATATTTTTCGGATTATATTACGCGACTTCATTTTTGTAAAAAACTACATACTCCCGACCTTTCGGTTTCTTTTCAGTAACCGTGATCACGGGCCGACGAGATGTATAATAATAATAATAAAGTAAGTATTTTTTTATAAAAATAAAGTCAAGTAGTATAATCCAAAAAATAATAGTTTCATTTAAATGAATATAACTCGCGAAAATCTTAGATCTCATTATGTTAATTGTATTAAAATTACCTGAAGTAACAACTTTTTTAATGGGTGTACCGAGCGAGGCTTCAATGACTCGCACATCGCGCACCAGCTGTTGGAACTCTGTCGGTGTTAAAGAACACACGTGATCTGTGCCTCGGAGACCTTTGTCTAAAGTTATATGCTTCTCCAAGACCTGTGCAAACAAATAAACATATTTTAAATATTAGCTTGAAAAACGAATAGTTTGTATCGAAAAATTCAATAAACGTCCTATGGAATGGTAATACAATACGAATCTGTAACTTAGAAATGACATATTTAACGCTACACCATCATTTTACTTGTATTTACCTACCCAAAATTGGTATCGTCACACTACATACGAGGCGTTTCCCGTTTCTCATTCAATAACCTACGCTAACACTATGATGTGCAAGGACTTAGGAATTAAAAACTGTTAACGCTCAATAGCATGTCGATGTCGATGTAAATAAATTGTTAAAGTAGTGGAATTTTTATTAGTAATAAAAAATAATATTTTGAAGATGTAGTGCCATCACCAGCCATTGTAATATTTTTGGCATTGAAAGTGTCTTTTTAATTTAATGGAATTTTAACGCAATTTGACAATTGATTAGTGCCACTTTAGAATTTGTGATCTACAGAAACATTGGAAATCGATTTTTTGACTTCTGCTTAGTCTAATTAAATGTTGATATACAAAAGTAGCGTTTACAGTTTTTTCATTCTTAAACAATCGAATGTTATAATATTATAATATTATGGTATGTTATAATGTTATAATATTATGGTATGTTTTGAATAAGAATCGGGTAACGCTTTTTCTGTAAAGTGAGTGTGCATACTTTTAATACTCATCATCATCATTCATCATCATCAGATCATGGATCTTTCATCAATTTCTTGTCTTTTTAAATTAAATTGTTTAATACGTGACAATAATTATTAATATTATTTACTGCTACAATAATAATTTAGCCGCTTCTTTTCTTTATTGGTTACGATTTCATATATGTACATACTTACTTATAAAGATCCTAGCTTTATATTTAAATAACAAAATACAGATCAGATGTTCAGTATGAATGAAAGATATACTAATGTAACTTTCATTTTTTTAAACAATTTGAATATTTTTTATCGATATATTAGCGTTTATATTATCGATGCAGATATTTTTTGGCTCACAAGATCAACGAACGCCGAAATATTAATAATACTCTATTGGTAATACGTAAACATCATAGATTTATGAAGGTTATTCTGTAATTTAGATACAAATACAACCAAATGTTACGGACAATAAAAATAGAAACGTCATATCGTACACATACATTAACAATATGTATGTATTAGTAATATGTTTACCTTAGCTCCCAGTGCTATTGCACCCAAAGCAACAGCGGTGCCAACTTCTTGACCAGAATATCCGACCGGGATGTCAAAAGTGTTCTTGTAGTCTTGTAGGACGGTCAGGTTACAGTCCTCGAAGGGAACGGGGTACGCTGATATACAATGTAACAAGCAGAATTGTTTGTGTTGAGCAGCAATAATGTCGTATATAGTTTTCACTGCCTGCTTATCAACCATTCCCGTGGATATAATAAGAGGGATCTTCTTGGATGCGGCATATTTCAAGAATAATAAATTGTTGGAATCGCCGGATCCGATTTTTATGAACGGCACTTTTATGTTCACCAAAAAGTCGAAAGATACCTGGAAAGTATTTTTGTTAATGAGTTTTGAGCATTTATATTAAGAACATCACTGATAAGATATATTTATTTCAAGTTTATATTACTTAGAATTTCTAATCTTTTAGTCTTACCATGTCCATTGCTGAAGCGGTGAAGAGTATTCCAACCTCTTGGGCATATTTAAACAATTCTCTGTATTGACTTTCCGAAAATTCTAAATGTCTCTTATGTTCACCGTAAGTTTTCCCCCATGAATTCGGGCTATCGTAAGGCTTCTCCAAATACTTTTTCGTAAATTTTTCATTCAGACAAGTCTTTTGAAACTTCACGCAGTTAGCGCCCGCATCCTGGAATGGGAATCCAAACGTTTTATTTTTATTTCCGAGTAAAGATTCATTCGCAAAATAAAAATATCATGATGTAGCGAGAACAAAGAGATACGATAATATGATAAGACACAATAAATTATATATTTTACATGTTCTTTATTGTTTTATAAAATAAATACCCACATGATAAACATGTAACCGTAATCTATTAATAAAATTAATAAAATTATTGAGTTAAACGATGATTCACAACTATGAAAGTAGAATAAAATTTTCCAGAATCTATTATACGAGTATATACAATGAAATATTTTTTGTAGGTTTATAGTAACGCATATTTTACTTAACTATGTTTTAAGTGACACATTTAATGTATGATTGGCTAAGTAGGTAGCTTCACCAACATTACGTTGTGCCATGAGCCATACCAAACTACTTATAACTAGTAACGTTTAATGACATAGCTCAGATATAATAAAAACACGGATAATCTCAATAACTACAGAAAATTAGCTTCATAACGATGCATTAAAATTTACTATAAAGACTAAATAACAATAGGTTTTTATGCAACTTTTAAACAAAGCCACAATTTGAATTGTTAAGCGGAGGCATTCACCTGTCATTGTTTTGCTTCCTACTAACAACAAAGTAAGAATAACCTTAAAAAGTTTTAAATACATAAAAATATACCAACCTTTGCTGCTTTGATTAATTTTTTCGCTACTTCAATGTCACCTTGGTGATTTTGTCCAACTTCAGCTATAATGAAGCAAGGATTTTTACCGCCTATTCTAATGTCCTCTGTTATCTTAACTTCGACCATCTTGACAATTGTCACTGTGCCATAGAAACAAACAAATCCAACTAAACACTCAATCGAACTGATGATTATTAATGCGGGAAGAGTTTGTTGACCTCTCTTTGAGGATCGGATTGTGTAAATAAGGTCAATTTAATAACGCAAGCACTTCGGTGAGCGCTCGGCGCGCTAGTGCGGCCCGCTTCGTTCCCGCGTGATAAATTGTGATAAAAACCTGTATGTTGGCTGTCGCAAGCCGCGACTCTCTTGACCACTATATAACCCATGATAAATAACAGACGATTTATGAATACAAACATTGTTTTATTACACAAACATAAATATATACAGTACTATTTACATGTGTTTTTCTCTTTGTTTACAATGCAATTCTTTGTTCTCTTATAACGTACAAGACGCTATTTTAATAATATCTTTATGATTTTTAAATCTATCCCCGATGGCACGGTTGACTTTGGACTCAGTCGGTTTTGCGAGGAAGTTTGATATGTAGCGGCCAGCTTCTATGAGTTTGACCAGATCGATGTTAGTATTCACTCCTAGGCCGTAGAGAAAGTATACAAGGTCCTCGGTTGCAAGGTTCCCGCTCGCACCACGAGCATACGGACACCCACCAAGTCCAGACACAGACGAATCCACAGTTTTAATACCAAACTACATGAAAACAAAACGTTTACGTTAAAAATACAGCGATGACGTCAGCATTAATAATAATGGGCGTGTTTATGTATTTATATGAGCGCGGAGTTTTTAATAATATTTTTCTTAATGTTTAACATTTACTCGAAAAATAATCTTATTTATTTCGCCTTTGAGATAAGCGAAACTGTTTTTTATCAAAATACGCATAGCAGAATGTCACCTTGTAGATATATTCTTGTTACAAATGTTATACGATAAATTCAAGAAATAGTTCTTACTTCAAAAAAAGAAGCGATTTTATATAAAAAAAACTGTGCAATAATAAAATAATACTGAGTGAATCAATCGTCTTAACCTAATGCTTATTCCGCTTCCTGTGCCATAACGAATTTGTTTTTTATAAAACAACGATAAAAAGTTGGATAAAAAGCCGCTATTCATATTTTTTTGAACAAAATATCATTCAGTAGTCTTTAAAGGTTTGTTTAAATTCAACTTCCAATGTTCCAATTTAATGAATTATATCATTTATAAAGTGACATAATATGGCTACCAAAATTTCATATTGTTACAACACAATGATCGTTTTCAGTTTTCCATTCATAAATATGCGCACATTTAGTATTAACATAGGCTGTTGAATAATAAACTAGAAATGATTTTTTCGAGTGTAACGATACAAACTTTTGGTAATCATACTGTTAGCACTAAATCATTACGATATTCGAGCATAATATTGACTATAGATATGTATTTTTTTCTTTACATAACATTTGAATCTAAATAACTGATTTAAAAATTTTTAAGAGCCCTAACTTTATGACTTGTGTATAAAAAAAATACCTCAATTCAGGTATGTGATATAAGACAGGTAATACGTAATTGGTTAAAAGCTACTGGCGTAGAATTGTTTTATAACATAGTAGCAAGGAATGTTAATAAGCTGTAAATGCGTTGAGAATAATTAATCACATATAATACAGGGAGGACCAGTAAGGCGTGCGAATTACAGAATAACAATACTCGCGACTGAAAATCGGGAGCGGGGAGCCGGTTGTTCCTTGGTTTTTGAAAATTTTTTTCCCTGGAGATTTTTAACGGTGAAAAGGGTGCGTTTTATATGATATTTAATTTACATGATTTAAATTAATATCCGGGTGAAAATGTGAACAGATTATGGGTCAGAATGTTCGACATTTCAGGTAAAACCTGAGGTGTATACAAGGTCTATACTGTAAAAGAACGGAGAACAATGTAAACAAAGTCACGGCAATGAGTCTTTGGCAGTTGTTACGGAAATATTTGATAGAAAACTGATATCGCGTCAAGGAAACACTCCATCGCGTCCATGGAGCCTAGATATCACGACAATAGTTATTTTCTGTGAGGGTATCTCAAGATTGCCCAGCTAGATCGCCAAGTTCAAAGACAACATTCTCAACGAGTTTTCACGAATTTAAGGGCTAGATTGGAAGAATGAGTCATGTAGATTGCAAATGTTATTTTAAAAAATAAAGTTCCATTTGTATTGTTTATTATAATCATAAATCATAACTGTTCTTTCCATACTTTGTACTTTGTAGTTTTTTATACGTTTTTTTTTTATAACCCGCTCAATTTTATGAATAAACATGAGTCTAACATTCATTTTAAAACTATCTAAATATTCCAAATTCTGCCAGTATCACTTATTTTGTAAATTGTATAAAAATACACAACCAATTTATTTATCGCTTAAATCGAGAGATATAAATTATATTTTTTTCAAATAATGATTTACCACTTATTTCTCGCTTTTTTTTTTTGTATGTTTGTCTATTTTCTCACGTCTTAAACACTTAAACAGTTGAGTAAAAATATTTACGTATTTTTATGTGACAAAGAATTTTGCAGTAATTAGGTACAGGTTAAAAAAAACGATTCCTAAAGCTATTGTACATCGCAAATATTTAAACGGTGAAATGAATATTATTATTCCTTATTTGAAAAATTATGAATGTGAAAGAAATAATCTTTATTTCTTATGTAAAACAAAATTTTTGGAATGTGTATCTGAACAGTGTATACCTATTTCAAATAGATTTGACTAGAAAATAGGTATGAAATTCGACTACAGTTCACTTAATCATTTGTAAAAATATATACAAAACATAAACATTCATATTTCTAATATAAGTATATAACACAGTTAATATACCTCCAATCCAGCCAATAAGTTAGATAGCCCCTGTCCATATGTATCATGGAAGTGAAGTGCTATTTTATCAGGTGTTGTCACTTTTATAACTTCATTCATTAATTTCTTCACCGAGCCAGCCGTTCCGACACCAATAGTGTCCCCCAGTGATACTTCATAGCAACCCATTGTAAACAACTCTTCAGTTATCTTAAATCATTTAATAAGATTCATTTGAGTATTTTTGTAACATGGCAATAAATTTGTTTATAACAACTTTCTTTTATATGGAATGAATTTAGTAAAATATTTTTAAATTTTGATTATATCTATAATTCCTTTACCTTGGCAATCCCTTTTGGATTTATTGGACCATCATACGGACAGCCTACAACACATGAAACATAACCTCTGACTCTCATCCCATCTTTAATAGCCTGATCAGCGACCAGTTTAAACCGTTTCAATCCTTCTTCAACAGAACAATTCAAATTCTTCTGAGAGAAACCCTCTGAACCAGCAGGAAATATTGCTATCTCTTCAATATTACATTGTTTCTGTAAAGTAATATATATTTAAATTAAGAACACTTTGAATAAAATAATTTTATTAGTAATTATTTTACTTACAGCTGTTTCATATCCTTTTAGATTGGGTATTAATACTGGATAATTAACACCAGGTACTCTTTTGATAGTTTTCATAACTTCACTACCATCACTCATTTGTTTTACCCATTTTGGACTTACAAAGCTGTAAAAGAATAAAAGTCTGAATGTAGCTTTATACGGTCTTATGACATATTTTTATTATTTGTAGAGAAGAATAAAGTTTGAGACCTCGGTCTCGTTTTATTATAACAAGAATATAGAATATTTTTAAAAATAATTTTAGTAAGACAAGTTTTACCTGGCACATTCAATATCTTTGATGCCTGCTTCAGAAAGTTTGTGAATAAGTTCTACTTTTATAGGAGTTGGTACAAACTTAGACTCATTTTGAAGACCGTCTCTTGGACCTACTTCGTATATGCGAATGTCTGGAACGGCTTGACTCTAATAAATAAATAATAATGTCACTAAGCTTAAGGTAAGGTTAAGTTATTAAAACTAAATAAATAATAGATAAAATTATTAATGAATACTATAAAATTAAATAAACATACAATCTTTCGAGATGTAGATATTGTTGAATATTTCGACAATGATTTCTTAAAAAATCGCATTTCAATATTTAAAAAAACTCTCTTATTAAACTTGTTGAAACACGGAATATAACGTACATAGTGTCTAATTAATTAAATGTACATAATTTCTTATCATTGCTATAGTGTTAATGTCATTTGAAATCAGTGTTTTCTTTTTTGCTGCTTTTGATAACAATTCCCCGGTTAAACGAAAGTATATTCTAGGTATATTGCATTAAGAGTGCTTTTTATGCTTGACGTTTAAAAATTCCTACTTGCCCACATAAAAAGAAAAAAAGTCGTTTGTTTAATGGCAAACATTACAAACGGGTATATACTTTATGTTATATCTGAGATTCTAAATTGTAATTGTACAATGTTGATTCTGAATTATCATTTGTTTATATTGAAAACAATGTGAAAAGAAAATTTCTTAACGTTTTATTTTAATATTCGACATTACTTTTTAGATAATGGTCGATTTTGTTTGTCTATCACTGCTAATTCGTTCATTCAAGAGTATGTTAGATATTTGGTTGCATTTAAAAACATAATAATAATAAATTTAGAAAACATTTTAAACAAGCAAGCAAACAAGGTAATAATGCCCATAATATGGTTATTGACATTTTCAATAATTATATGGATGATGTTATAAGCATACATAGTAAAGACATAGCGTAGGATTTTATTGGTACCTACATAGTGAATTGAGTTTTCTACTTACCTACTTCCAAAGCTCCAATATATAATTTGACAAGTAGTGACAACGTCTTAACTTTTATGTCAAGCTATAACTGTCAATGAAATTAACCTAAAATCGCTTAGCCGGTTACAAGTAAATATATTTAATTCCAAACACAACAAAGATCAAACTATGGGTAGGTTAATTTGAGAGTATCTGAGACATATCTTAGCGAGTTATTAATCCTATTTCCATTTCAGCTGTTAACAGTGCCACGTCCTTCGTGTTATCGTCAATTTTAGCGTTGTTGATATTTTCGGGAATGCAGATGTATAAGCCCTTAATTACAAGATCTCCACTAACTATCATATTCGGAGGATATCTAGGATCCCTTATGTTTATGTTCTTCGTTACTGTATCCTTTTTAAACATACCTTCCGTTTTGTTACAATTAGAATAAATATTTGAAATTCTTATTGAAAGTCTAGAAAATCCAGCTGGAGTAATAATATTTTTGCAGCTAAATGAAATAGCGAGATATTATTGATAATTTAATCTTAAACAATTATGGATTTTATCAAAAAATAGTTATTTCTAAATCAGTGTTTTACTGTATCAAGTATGGCTACAAAGACATGTATAGATTTATTGATAAAATACACCCAGCATACCTATATGTCTATACATATTTTATTATTTCGTTACTAATCCAAAATAACCCTCATTTAAAGATGAAAAATAACCTTAATTTATATTGCTGCACTTTTTCTTTTCTACTTTTCACAGAAGCTTATTCTGAAAAATAGCCTTCATATAATATCAACACTTCAATTGTTTCTAATATGATATTTCAAATTCTTATTCATAGATAATTGTAGTGATAACAAATATGAGTAATTATAAATACTTTATGAAGTTCATATATTTAAGACAGGATGTTTATAACAGTTAATTTCCTTATTGAAAATAACAGGCAGTTGGTAATTTAGAAGCAACCTTGTTTGGGAAAAACTTTCAGTTAAAATTACCTGAGATAGTGTTGTCTATGGTGATATCATTGATTGCTTCAGGGATGGTGCATAGGATCTGTTTTACTACATGGTAAAGTTAATGACACAAATTATTATTAAACAAATATTTATATTGAGTTGTACTAACTTCTTTAGATAACTGAGGCTCTGTTCCCAATTACTTTTAATACACATATAAATAATTTTGAAGATCAAAATAAGCTTATAATTTTTTTTTGTATCTGAAGATCTCATATGTAATAAATAATAATACATTTAAAAGAATATAAACCCAATATATATTAACAGGAGCAACATTTAAATCTAGTAAAAATAAAACTTTTACTTGACATGGTTACTGTAAATACTTGTGTTAGAATGGCCATATAATGAGATGTATTGTTTCAGCTTAATCTTCTCCATCATTACTATATACTACATGAATAAACTATCCCAGAAAACATATGTAGCACCGGTTGCTGCTCCGGCACCAGTCAAAGGTCGCAGACATAAATAGTTTCCATATTAAGCATTCCAAATTTTATGAATAATATTTCTATGTATGATTTTTTATGGCTGAAATAAAAATATTAAAAATATTACCAATTTTTTATCTCCTTCTCTATTCTCTATTTTGTATTAATAAAACACCAAAAGTTTAATCAACTTTTATAATTCATTTTGTTATTTAGATTACATACAATACGTGTAGAAATAAACATACTTTTCTCTTAACATTTTAGATGATACCTAAATACAATAAAGAGTGAGTAGTTTTCTACAGAAAAATTAGTTAGCAAGTTAATAATTACCATACACTTAATATAATTATTAAATATGTAACAATCCTAAATTAGTTATATTGCTCATTAATTTAGAATACAACTTAACTGAAAAAACAACCTCTTCAAAGATGTAACTCATTCTGGATGTCCATATAACCACTCATTTGCATACAAATAATTTAGATCACAACAATATTAACACACTTACATAAACAACTTTTGTAGAAATAAAATTATCATATTATGATTACATCGGTGTTTATCTTCCTACAAATCTAACACTTACACACCTTTCCATGTATACATTGGAAACAATTTTTGCATAACAAAATAATTAACATTTTTTTTATTCAACAGGATTGCATAAAAATATAACTTCCACGGTCTTTATAAAGATATATGAATAGTCTTTAACAAATTTATGAGTATAACAACTTTAAGTATTGCACAAGTGACATATATGGTGCATTTTACTATGATTGTTCATACAAACTTTAAACTATCTGAAAACAATTTAAACAATGAACATCTCGGTATACATAAATAATTTCTGTAGATAATATTTTCATTGATAATATATGTCTGATTTATTTCAAGATATAATAGTATTTTTTGAGTAAGTATAGTATGTGACACATGAAGCATTATAAACAGAATTGTATGTAATGTACTTTGGCACACCGCTTTAAAATACAATCTGCTATTTATGTAAATCAATGATTTGATTCAAAAATGTTTAGACAAATATACATTAAATAAAGATGATGAATTGCAACCTCTAAGAAAGTATTCTATACATATCTAAATGTAACATGTGGACATTATTTACTCTATGGGGAAAAACAATACATATCACAGAATCTTAGAAATACTTAAGGCACAGACAAGGACAGTAGATTTTCAGTAATTGTTGGAAGGATATATAATTGACATAATTATTTCAAATTCAATCACATTATACAATTACCAATCTTGAAGTATTTTATATCAAAGTTAAATAATCTCAATCTGATTGTAAGAAATCCCTTACATTTTGAGTAATTAAAGATAAAAATAATATACAATCAAAGTGTCTTTTAAGAAGTATGAAAGATAAGTTATAATTTCATTTGTTTCTAATATGCATGCTGTTGTTTCTGACGTAAGGATTTTGTAAAATTCTTGGAGTAGTTTCCATGACCCTCAGCAATAGATCATCTAAGTAATTTTCCAGATCCTTGTTTTTCTTCTTTTCCGATTCAACATCCTTCTGCAAATTGTAAATAGCAACAATTAAATCCTCACGGGTCATGTCATCAAATTGTTGTACGATTGTTTTTGGTATGTTATTGTATGCAGGATTAATGGAATCCTCTTCAACTATATTCTCTTCTCCTACAATAATACGCTCCTCAAGTAACTTTTTAGGTTTGTTGTTTCCAAATTTTTTGAAAAACTTTGGACTAGGTTTTTCTTTCAAGGAACTAGGACTATCAAGTTTCTTGTTCCTTTCTAGACTAGATGATTTCTCTCTATCTATCATTGTTTGACTGATAGATTTTCTAGGATATAGTTTTTGGGACCATTCATCATCTTTATCAGGTACTTGTATTGGTAATTGTGGAGCGTTGAAGGTATCCAGACTCAGACGGACTGGTTTAAGGGGAGCTGCTTTTTCTGTTGTTGCTAAAGTGCTACTGGTAGATCTTCGTAAAAATTCACCGCCACCTAAATTTTCAAGAGAAGCATTGATTGGAGATGGTGTGTATTTCACTCCTCTGGGTAAATATGAGGATTGCACATTAAGTGAACTACCAGAACTTTTATGAGATAAATCATCAAATGCAAATTCATCGTCATCTTCACTTATAACACCTGGATCAGCTTCAGCAGAAGATCTTTTTGGAGTGGATGTATCAGGAGTGGAAAGAATTGAGCCTCTTAAGTTTCCAACACTTCCCCCTAGAGAAGATGAGTCACTCTTTTTATCTTTTTTATTAGTAAGGTTCATTTTAGAGCCTAAATTTTTTGCCATTTTTTTTATGCTTTTTCTGTTTTTCTATGCTTCCAATACTCATTAAACTGCCACCTACATTTTGGGCAATACTGGATAACGACGATTTATGTTTTTCTTTCTTACTGAGATCTGTTAAGCTTCCTTCTTTAACTGTGAAACCCAATTTTACTTCTAGGTCACCTCTGTTTTTGTCGTTTTCTTTACCTGTTTTACCTCGTAAAGGATACCAGCGGTTTTTGGGACGTTCATACACATCAAGGTCTTTAAGAGGAATCGATACCTGACCTAATAAATGATCCTTAATTAGGTCTTCATCGTAGACTTTAAGAACAATTTCTGCAGTATTTCCCTGAGTCGGAATGCGGAGCTCACATTCTTCAAGCCATTCAACATTCTCCGTAGCTTTGTGTTTTACGGAAGTTTGAAATTTTTCTTTACCAAGTGAGATTGTAACAAAACAGTTATTTGTACCGTTTTTACCCTTAATTAACAATCCTCTAGCTTTTTGCACTGTTACTTGAACGTGAGTCGGATCCCACATTTTGTTCTACTCAGTATAATGAATACACTGATGTTTAAATTGTATAAAACTAAAACAATAGCTTTAACACGGTAATAATATAAACGATGAGCTGTCGTCCGTCACAAATTACTAATTCTCAATTCATATGTACACAATCACAATCAGTCATTCGTTACTCATTCCATTCTCCATTCGCATTCCACAAAACATAGGTAATCATTTAAGACATTTCTTAGTCCCCGGAATATTTGCTCTATGGTAACAGCTTATTGACGTTGACAGGTTGCGGTTTTTATGACTTCATCGATTTTTAATTAATTTATTGTATAAATATTCGGGCTAGCTACTTAAAATTAATTTGTTATAAAAAATCCCTGTAAAAATAATAAATTTAAAACACAAAACATGCCTAGAGATCAATGAGCATTTATTACTAGTTAAATTAAGATTTCTATTGTAACACTTTCAGAATTAAGGATGTAACATATAAAAATAGCTTTAATACTGTCCTAGATACATTTTCATTAAAATGTTTAAAATGCAACGGTCACCTTACAAATAAATAACTATAGAAATACATTTGGAATGGAATATATTTTTTATTTTATTTTCGTGTCCGTACTGTTGTTATATAATTGACGTTTATTTAAAATAATATAAAATAAAGATGACTCGTGAAGGATTTGAACCTCCGCCCTCCGATGGTCAAGTAAATTTGTATATCGGCGCTCTAACCTACTGAGCTAACGAGTCTTGCCACAGTGAAATGTATTATGCGTATAGTATCCACGAATGACGTCATGCCGATTTTTTAATATTGGCTTGTTGCCAGAGTCAACAATGAACATAAACGTGTTTATCCATCGTTGACTAATTATGTCTAATAGTGCTCTCCAAAACTAACAGCTTAATAGAGTACCGATCTGTGTCAACGACTTCATATAAATTTTCTACATGTAATTCAATATTTCATTATCTGTTCTAGAAACGCAAATGTGTTTATCATAAAAATCTTTTAGACTAAGGATATATAGTAAGTACATTTAGAAGCAAGCGATACCACTTTCTAGCCTAAACTATCCACTCTGTAGAACACCTTAAGTTAAATTGCAGTAATACAATACAGCAGGATTGAAATTACAACATATCACGTTGCTGATCTTGGGTAACAGAAACATGACCATGTAGGAAACAAAATAATTATATGTAACTCATATGATGGCATTAGATTTGCTATTGATAATAATAAATAATATTTAGTTTAGGGTATGAACTATAACCATAAGATCAATGAATTTCATTTCTAAAAGACTCAAAAGACTTCACAGTTAATTAATAATTAATCAATTAGATTAAAAAAAAACTTTTTACAAGATGACAAACGAAGTAAAATGTGTAATGACACACTTAGGTATTTGTTTCAAAATGGTTGTGTATATCAAATCGTCATGATTTAGGGAGTAGGTATAAGCTAAAATACTCTTATCTTGTTATATTTGTGATACTGACATAAATTTGCTTTTAATAGTACCACAAGCGATGTAAACACAGTTTGGAATTATGATTATTTGTAGTTTCCCAAACTCTGCCAAGCCTATTGCAACTGGAGTGTTTTAATATCACATTTCAGCTGGTAAATGCTATGTAACTTTGCAACACAGTGTAGTGCCTATTGAACAGATAATATGGATCTCTGAGTATATCAGAATATAGGAGAAAAACGTTAAATTCCTTAAGCCAAATGAAAAGGTATAACTGTATTTTTTAAAATAAAATAAGTGAATTTGGTTAAGATGTTAAAAGACAAGAAAAGAGATATAGTTATCAGGAGAAAGTAAAAAAAAATTTGTTTATGCTCCATAAGATTCTGCACACCCATATTGTTAATTCAAATATTCAATGCAAGGATAGCTGACAAATATAAGGTAAAAACAACTGCAGATGCTTACATGTAGGGGAAAGCCATCTATCGGCGATATTCGTAAAAAAATGTTAAGTCTAAGAGCGTTTGCGCCATCTATTAGTTATACCTATCAACAATGCATCACATTAATATTTAAAGTATTATATTTTGAAATGTTTGATGTTTAAAAAAAATGTATTTTTTTTAAATGTGAAAGGTGGCAAACGAGCAGTCGGCCTGCTTGAATGGCAGCAGTCACCGTCACCCATGGACATCCGGAAAATCGCTGGTGCGGGTGCGTTGGCAACGTTAGTTTTCGAGGAATAGGGAGGAGTAGGAATAAGGAAATGGTAGGAAAGGGTGGGAAATACAAAAAGGGCAACCGGCACTCTCACTCATCGGACGAAACGCAGTCATTAATGACTACTTCACGCCGATCTTCTGTGAGAGGGTGGTACTTCCCCGGTCGATCCAGCCCATGTTCGAGCTGTAGTTACTTGACCACAGCCAGGCTCTACCACCTATAAAATGTAAATAATATAAATGTAAATAAAGCTTTTAAAATTTTCATATATAAACATTTTGTAAAAATTAAAAGCTTAATTAGACAGGGTGACTGGTGAATTACTATCGATACTTGAGGACGTGATATTTGACGATCATATATGACAAAATAAAAATTAATATAACATAAATATTAATAAACTTCTAAGTAAAGTTAACCAAAAGTTATGTAATTAATTACGCATCGTGTGAACACCCTACAGATTAGGTATACACACACACTCATACACACACACAGGTGTGGTGTTGTATCAGCACGCCGCCGCACGCGTCCACACTTGGAACACTTGGAACGTGTCCACACTTTATTTATTTATTTATACGGAAATTTGGTCAAAAATTAAGTACCTCTTTTTTTTAACTAATTCGAATGAGAATCATGTACCGAGTATTCTCCTTAAATATTGATAGTAATTCACCAGTCACCCTGTATATCAAAAATATTAAACATAACCTACTGATAATAAAGCTATCTCAAGTTATAAATCTATTTAAAAATTAAATTATTGTTCGTAATTAAAATATAAGTTACTTTAAAAGTAAAACAATTCAATATTATCTTAAAAAGAAACCAACGTTAAATAACTTTTTTACGAGAAAAGTCTCAAACGACCAGACGGCGTACTTGATGGGAAGTAGTCACCGACTCACCGTCAACCATCGACATTCGCATGAGTTGAGGAAGGAGGAGAGATGGGAGTAAGGAAATAGCAGGAAAGGTTCCGAAGGGAAAGGCAAACGGCTCTGTCATTCATTGGACGAAACGCAGCTATTACTACATCACGCCGATCTTCTGTGAGTGTTGTACTTCCCGACTCGAGCAAGGTCATGTTTGCGCTGCAGTAACTTTACAACAGCTAGGCTCAACTACCCTTAGGAAAAACTAACTTAAACTTTATATAACAATTTTTTTATATTCTTGTTATTATTTCAAAATACAGCATACATTAATTTTCTTTTTCATTTTCCATGTTCCAAAATATTTTATAGTTACTAAAAAATATTTCCCTGCTTTGCAGCTGCTAAAAATAGTCACAAAAATGTCAAGTTTGTTTAATAATATGTATTGTCATCCGTGGATTGACTGAACAGGTTAGTGAATGAATAGGAAAAACTTTTGTACAAGGAAGTCATAAACACGCATATTTAGGTTCCTACATATTTACAAAAATACTTTACCGAATATTTATTGCACATTTTTGGAACGTTAGCTCTTTTTAAAAAAAATTAAAAATATATCTCGAGAATAGCGCTCAATAGTTAGGACGACGTCCGAAAGGCATCAAGGTTTAGAAACCAATATCTAACATTTTTTACATTGTAAAAGCTCTTTTAAACTGACAATACTTCTCCCAGATTTAGTGAACAATTTTAATTAAACAATTCTGTAGAGAAGTAGAACCCCTTTACTTGTTTTATTAAAGAGGGAGACAAAGTATTCTTTCCCTTGTTGCTTAACAAATATTTTTAAATGTGCTTGCAGTTGCCAAATAAAAACAAAAAATACATGTTTTGAATGCATTTTTGTGTGCATTTCAGGTACACTTGAAATAGAATGTCGTTGTAATTTTGTCGGCGGACATGTAAAAAATAATTTCATCCAAAAGTACGAGCTACTTCAGTAAATATTCAAATGTAGGTGAATATTTGTTGCTAAACAATTTTCATATGAGAGCCTTACCACTTCTATTTTGAGTAAATAAAAAAAATATGTTTTTTATACATAATGCATGACGAGGGAATATTGTGCCTACATGCATATTAATTAAAAATACATTCTATTGTTATAATAACCAAGGAAAAAGTAAAAGAAGTAGGTTTTTTATTAATAAATCTATTTAAAATAAATGACGGATATATTAAACTGTTATTATTATATTAAACTGTTATTATTATGTTTCTAGCCAACAATTTGAAACAAAGTTCTCATATTTTAAAGATAATTAATGTTCAAATTTTGAACATATACCTACGTAGTAAATCACGGCTGGAGAATTTTACGACCGCCTGCGGCTACAGATCGGTAGATTTCATGATTTACAAAGCCGAAGCTGAACTCTGGTAGCTGCTTAATAGAAAGGTATACTTATAGGGACGAAATTGTTAGCATAAAGCGGAATTTATGGTACTTTAAATTTTTTGTTTATATTTTTACATTCAACGAGTATTATTTTTATTGCGATCGTCATTGTAATCATCACGTACTCGTACTCCTATCATCTTCATCTACGCTAAGACGTATCGAAGATATTCGAAATTTTAATTATAATTACACACTAAGAAAATAACTTAATCTTTAAATGGCGTTTTCTATCAGATTATTATAATGTGAAATCATTTACTTTTCCAAACTATACGAAAATGATGCAATCTGACTTTTAAGTTTTTGTTCATAAAGTGGAACTACCCCGTTGAATTGTGTACGCAATTTTTTTTTTATTAAAAATGTATATAAACATTTAAAAATAAGTAACATATGTTGATACATAGAATTATTATTTCTAGATATAAAGGCAAACACTATACATATTTAATGAAAGAATGAAACATT